TTTTCAGCCTGGGAAAATCCAATTCAGCCAGTGAATATGATACTACACCCAGTGAATATGATTCTACAAAAAGTTTTGTTGTCTATTGTTTGGACCAATGAGATTGGAGCTATATTCAGAGCATATAATAAATATTGTTAATGCGAAGTAAATAATTAAATTGAAAGGAATTATGGCAAAATGTAAACTTGTTTTGACTTTCACCTGTTCCGTCACTATATACCTTAAGATGGACATAATTATATTAATTATGATTTTCCCCAAGCATTTGTACCATTTGTAATTTTTCAAAATAACTTATTATCGGATCCAATCTCACCAATTAACCTACGTTTTTATCTTTCGAATCCAAAGATCCATATCAAATCACTAAGGCTTCCATATAACCTCGTTTACACTTGTCGCGTCCAAGAAAATCCATATCAACTCAAATTGATTGTAATCAACTTACGCTCGTTGCCATTTGTCAAAGTCCAATAAATCCATATCTGATCGTTATTAACTTATTGTACTACACGTTATAAAATTCTGAGATCGTTATTCACTGTAACATAAAATACTGATTCTACTGGACTCGTTCACAGTTTCAAAACCTATATTGGCTAGCGCCACGTCTAATATCGATTTGACAGCTGTCTACGAGTCCAGTAGAATTAAGTTATGCATTCAACAATGTATTATAACCTAATATCTTTTATAGTTTACTGAGTAGAGAAACATAATTCTGGAAACAAAATTTTCGAAACATACTTTACCTAGTAAACAGAACATGTGCATGTTTTATTGCTGTAGAAGTCATGTGATTGTTTAGTCTATCTTACATGTACTAATAATGCGTTTGTGAGAACATGAAGGGATGTCTGAGAAACCTGCCGATTCAGAACTACTACGCCTTTTGTTTTGGTGTTAGATGTTAATTGATATAATGGTCAATATTTCTATTACCATTAATAATTTTCGCATTTAAATATTTCAATATCGTTTTATTTATTGTGTTCTACAATATTCCAGACTTTTTAAATAAAAACATGTAAAAGTGTATACGTATATTGATATACGAACGCCTTTATTCGCGTTACTTCGCCTTTTGTTTCGCGTAATTACGCCTTTTGATTCGCGTTATAACACTTTTCCAATATCTTATTTTTTTATTTGATATCATTAGGCTTTCTTATTAATGTTTTTTTTTTTTAATATAACATACAACCTTTTAAGAAATGATAATGGTCGTATGAGATATGTGTAGCTAGGGGAGACAAATCGTCAGTGCATAAACTGTAAACTGCTATGTAGTTGTCCCCCTTGGAAGGAAACAGTTTCGTGTAATTCTATTTGGAATGGTTATTCAAATATTTTATGTTTGTATTTCATGTTATATATATTTGTGTATACATGAATAGATGAGACTTCAATAAATAGATAAAATAATTTCTCGTTACTACGCCCTTTGATTCGCGTTGTAACTCCTTCCCAATATATTTTTTTATTTCACTTGATACTAATAGGTTTTCGTACACAACATTTGTGTCTGTATTGTCATTAAATTTAACCCGTCTCTTAATATTGCAATGAAGAACTAGCCCCGCCCGCTAAGTATACGTATAAGTATTCACCCTTTACTGTTCCATAGAAATTAGAAACGTTTCCCATCACTTCGTTACCGTCGACGTTTCTAATTTCTATGGAACAGTAAGGATGAACACTACTAATATTATACATAGTAATCAAGTGCGCTGTACACGCATATGACGTATCTATACTACTATGGTCGGATACCCAAGGTTGCCTTCTCCAAATGAGCCGCGCCATGACAAAACCAACATAATGGGTTTGCGACCAGCATGGATCCAGACCAGCCTTCGCATCCGCACAGTCTGATCAGGATCCATGCTGTTCGCTACAAACCGTATGACAAACCCTGATAAGACTGTGCGGATACGCAGGCTGGTCTGGATCCATCCTGGTCACAAACGCATTATGTAGGTTTTGACATGGCGCGGCTCAAATCCCCCTCGAGGCGTCCTCGCAGATATAGAGATTCGGCATTTTGTATTTTGTGTCATTTTACTACTTTGTTAACATTTTGCTATTTTTATGACAAATAGTTCACATTCAGTACTACTTTTTCAGGTGCTAAGCATTTGTCATGTTCTAAAACCATTTTTAAATGTCACTAGCCCCATGTTTTTTCTTTCTAAGAAATGAGGAAGAAAAAAAAATCATTTTTGGGGTATTATGTGCCGTTATAATAGTACCAACCACCGGATAATGTATGTTGATATTTTTGGACAGTGCCACGTGACCTCATTGACACAAATGTGATCGTAGTTTGTTTGGGTGTGTGGTTTTGTTTTTTGTTGCTGTTTTTATAATTGATTCAAATTTAACAGTGAAGTTAAAAAAGCTTAACTTATAATTATTAAAATTAAATGCAACACAAAGAAACTTATCTAGCCAAGAGTATTGTATTTATCTATCTATTACTTATTTATTTATTTATTTATTTATTTGTTGTTTTTTTTTGTTTGTTTGTTTATTTATTTATTTATTTATTTATTTATTTATTTATTTATTTATTGTAAATGAGAGCTCCCTATTCATGTGTCTAGTTCATTTTATCGATCATTTTTCCCTAGAACTGATATTTGTTTGGTAAAATATGAAATCATTATTTCTTTCAAGTATATATATATGCCAAGTCCAAACTAAAACAGTTTATTCTGTTTTATTCCGATTGAACACGCAGTGGAATTTTACTGAATTTTATTTTTTTACTAGAGCCGTTCATTATCCATTTATACTTTAACTGTGACTTAATAAGCTTAAGATTGGATTATTTTAGGAAAATGAATAAAAATTTCCAAATTTAACCTTTGTTATTTTCCGCTTTCGTAATCTCAACGAATACATTTTATATTGGTATTTCGTTATATCGCTGACAAGGAAATATTCTATTAAATTCTAGAAAACAAATTGTGAATTTGATCTAATCTAACAAGGAAATTGACTATTATTTATACCAAAAAAAGATGAGAAAAAAAAACAACAACAAAAAACATAACGATTTTTCATTCATTCATTCATTCATTCCTCTGTCCGTCCGTCCGTCCGTCCGTTCGTTCGTCCATTCGTTTTCCTTTCATCTTTGCTAATCTACCGCTTCCCAAAACGTCGATAATAAATATTTATTTGGAATAAACCCTCAATTTTTATCTCGTAAACAGGTACATACAAAGGTGTTATTTGATAACGTGGAGTAATGTACCTTATCTATTAGAATATAAAGTATCAACAAAATGCACAAATATAATTTAGCTTTAAGAAAGTACATTTACAATGCATTTATACTAACGTTTTAACAAGTGAATTGATCTATAAATTAATGAATTACGATAAACTTTTTCAAGTACAGGCACCATCTTTTCACTTACACTCGTCTCTGTTAATTAAAAATACTTCCTTTATGATTAACCGATTCATTTTTAGTAATAGTATGTATGTATGGATGGATGGATGGATGTGTGTGTATGTGCGTAAGCGCGTGCGTGTTGGTGCGTGCGTGAGTGTGTGTTTATTTATTTAGTTCTTAACTATAAACTTTTTCAAGTACAAGCACCATCTTTTCACTTACACTCGTCTATGTTAATTAAAAATACTTCCTTTACCGATTCATTTTTAGTAATAGTATGTATATATGTATGGATGATTGGATGTGTGCGTGTGTACGTGCGTGCGTGCGCGTGTTTTTGTTTTGTCTTAAAGGCGCAGTTATTGAAATTAATTTGTGATATCGTACATAGCTTCTTAATACAAAATTATCAAAGTACATTCAATATGGGAATCTTCCGTGTCCAACTAATACGGCAACATATATACATGTATTTTTGTTTTCTATCAAATAAGATATGATAATTTTTCAAATTTATCTATGTCTTTATACTTTTATGTAACACAAAGCTCATAACTATACATTTAAGAAACATAATGCTCATTTTTCGCTGTCAAGTTTGGTTGAATAAGCAACATAATTCAAAAGATGATTGATAATGCCAATGTTTAGATATATATAAGAGACTGTCCCACTTTTTCTATCAATTGAATGTTTCCGATAAATTTCAAAAGAACTTCTGTGTGAATGTAGAAAGAAAAAAAGCCTATGTGTAGTAGAATTCGAATTTTTGTTTTTTTCTGTTGCTGTTTTTGATGTTGTTTTGATTTGTTTTGTTTTTTTGCCCTAAACATTAAAGTGTATAAAGCTATATATCTGCTGCAAAAATTATTGTTTAGATTTAAAAAAAGAATACTTCCACAATGCTTGCAAGAAATCATTACTTAACGGATAAAACCCTACTCAAAATTGTTCCGCAACATTTTATTCTGTTTACGTACAATATTCATGTGTGTTAAATAACAGAGACATTCTATGTTACAACTTTTTCGGGAATCAACTATATAATAATGTAACCAATATAATTTTACTGTTGATAAATTTTATAAAAATATTTCATTAGATATACGCGTTCGCTAAATATTTACTTCCGTTGCTATCGTACATGTTAATTATATATTATCATTAGGATTAACGTCATTTTTTCAAGTATTTCATAGACCCATCTCCAGGTGAATAATAATACAACAAGGACCCAGACTTGCATAGCGTATTTGTCTCTCACTCTCCCTTACCTTCCGTAAAAATATAACATTTCGGAAAAAAGAAATATCATGACACACACATGTCCGTGGTAGAACTCAAAATAGAATTTTAAACGGAAATATGTTTAAAAACAGTCATAGAGACTGTTGTCCGGCAAATTGTCCGATATTGTGTGTTTTTAAAATAGCTGACTTACACATGTCCAGAAAGTGGTCCATATATATTACATTGCAATCCTATAATCCCTTATACAATATACTTCCCACAAATGTACATCTTTAATCCCATTTGAAAATAACTTTAAAGTCACGAGCCCTTATGCAACTCATAGTAATGGAAAATACCCATAAAACGACACGTGTCGTCTTTGTTCGGACTTCTGCAATGTCCTATAGTTCTATTTTTTACTACCATAGCTACACGGCATCTATCTATAAAAGAAAGTCATTGTCAAATTAACTCCATAATTCCTATATCGACATTACATGGTAGTAACTGACACGCTCAAAAGAAACTACAACAAGAAATTATTTAAATTAAAACAAAACAAACAAAAAAACATGGCAGTACATATTAAGATGGCTTCAACAAATGGAACAATTTGTAATGAATTAAATGGTTTTGATACGTTAAAGCTGAAAAATGCCATCAACGGTAATTTTTCTGATGATATAGTCAACGGGATATGTGAGAAACCTGTTGAAAATGGCACACATACTCGTGACGAAACTACTCCTGGTAAAGATGATCTGCAGTTTCTAAGAAAGGTGACAGATGTTGTGATAAAAGATGCTTTAATTGGGGCGATGGATAGAAAAACGTAAGTAGCTTAACTGTTTACACAAGCTTGATTCTTGTCTATTTTATGGCAATATTTTGTTTGAACTCTCTTTAAGGCTGCATGCTTTAAGTTAAGTCAAAATATGTCACGAGAATTAATATTGAGAAAATATACCAAGATGTCGGCAACGGTATAAATATTCACAATTGCAATGAATGCAGCCTGTTGTTTAAAAATGTCATTTGAATTTGGAAAAGAAAATGCTAAAATAATTACCTGTAAGAAAGAAATATGAGCGGTGTCATGACAAAACCAACGTTATACGTTTGCGACCAGCATGGATCCAGACAGGATCCATGCTGTTCGCTTACAAACCCTATGATAAGTAGAGAAACTGATAGCGAACAGCATGGATCCTGATCAGACTGCGCGGATGCGCAGGCTTGTCTGGATCCATGCTGGTCGCAAACCCATTATGTTGGTTTTGTCATGACGCGCCTCAAATGTTTGTATTAATCCTTTAGTGAAAATGGCGCGTGCACCAAATCATTGGTAAACGGTAATTTTGAAATAAAAAATAGCAGCATTTAATTTCGTTCCGGAACTCTCTAATATTATTACTGTGTGTGTTGAATGACAGAGACATACTATATATGTAACAACTTTTTCTGGAACGACTGCAAGATTATAGAAAAATAAACATACCCATACCGTTTATAAGAGCTCACAAAAATCTTTCATAAGATATACCTTTATACCCTTTCAAGTAGATAGATCTACAATGGGCACATTGTCCATTAGTATTTCAAATATTGATAAATACAATATAAATGCATCATTTGTAATGTATTTTCTTACAAAATTCTGCTTGAAAAGAAAATGTTTATAAAGTTCTATGTGATTTTGAATGACAATTTAGCTGATGAATATATAATAATATTTGTTCTTAAATATTTTATTATCTGCTATATAAATATATGAAATATCGGATCATGTATCTCACACTTGCCAGCAACTTGTATAATTCTTCCGTGGTGTGTACTAAATATATTTTCTTTACTATAAACGTAATTCATTAATTTACAGGTCAATTCACTTGTTAAAACGTTATTATAAATGCATTGTAAATGTACTTTCTTAAAGCTAAATTATATTTGTGCATTTTGTTGATACTTTATATTCTAATAGATAAGGTACATTACTCCACGTTATCAAATAACACCTTAGTATGTACCTGTTTACGAGATAAAAATTGAGGAATTATTCCAAATAAATATTTATTATCGACGTTTTGGGAAGCGGTAGATTAGCAAAGATGAAAGGAAAACGAATGGACGGACGGACGGACGGACAGAAGAATGAATGAATGAATGAATGAATGAATGAATGAATGAATGAATGAATGAATGAATGAATGAATGAATGAATGAAAAATCGTTATGTTTTTTGTTGTTGTTTTTTTCTCATCTTTTTTTTGGTATAAATTATAGTCAATTTCCTTGTTAGATTAGATCAAATTTACAATTTGTTTTCTAGAATTTAATAGAATATTTCCTTGTCAGCGATATAACCAATTACCAATATTTATTGCATTCGTTGAGATTACGAAAGCGGAAAATAACAAAGGTTAAATTTGGAAATTTTTATTCATTTTCCTAAAATAAAATAATCCAATCTTAAGCTTATTAAGTCACAGGTAAAGTATAAATGGATAACGAACGGCTCTAGTTAAAAATAAAATTCAGTAAAATTCCATTGGTGTTCAGTCGGAACAGAACAGAACAAACAGTTTTAGTTTGGACTTGGCATATATATATATACTTGAAAGAAATAATGATTTACAAATATCAGTTCTAGGGAAAAATGATTGATAAATGAACTAGACACATGAATAAGGAGCTCTCATTTACAATAAATAAATAAATATAAATAAATAAATAAATAAATAAATAAATAAATAAATAAATAAATAAATAAATAAATAAATAAATAAATAAATAAATAAATAAATAAATAAATAAATAAATAAATAAATAAATAAAATCGGTCAGTAAAGTCCGTCACTGTTTCAAATTGAATGACTCTGTAAGTCTGTGTTTCAGTTGCTCTCAAAACAATTTAGGGGGCGTCTGTGGGGTCGTGGGTTCGAATCCCGACAGTTACTTTGGATTCTTTCATGTGAGGAAGCTATCCAGCTAGCTTAAGGAATGTCGGTGGTTCTACTCAGGTGCCCGTTCGTGCCTGAAATAATTCACGGAAGGGCACCTGAGGACTTCCTCCACCAGTAAAGCTGGAACGTCGTCACATGATCTATACTGTGCCGGTGTGACGTAAAAACCAATCAAACGAACAAACTCAAACCAATTCGCTTTCTAAATATCATCACTTTGGATTTTCACAGTGTTGATAGCTCATCCTCATTTTATCGAATTATGAGGTACATTTATAATGTTGAATTTCATTGGACAAAAAATATGTTTATATATACATTTTTCTTATGCATTTTCTCTAAATGTATTCCTTAGCCTCCATCTTTGAATTTCCCATAGTCATGATTTCTAATTGTTTCCAAATATGGTCACATTCTTTATCTCTGTTATCATAGTTTTTATCTTTAATTCTTTTCCATGGTCTTCATCCTTCATCCTGTACAGCTTAGATATCCCGTGTTCTTCATCTCTAAATGTTCGCCAATTTCATCATCTGTAAAGGTTGCGTGTTTTTTTTTTATCTCTAAATGTTAGCCATTGTAATATTCTTCATTCTAAATATTGCAAAGTGATCAACTCTTTACGTTTTTCATAGTCTCTAAAAGTCCATACTCTCTGTAAATAACCTGTAGTTTATAATTTTAATAATGTTTTTATTTTTTCCGTACGGTAAAGAACTTAAAAAAGGTTAGATTTTAACTTTATTAAATAATCAACTTGTATGTTTCATCTTACGTGGAAATATTTATCATAACGTGTCTAATGTGTTGTCTGGTATTTCATTTCAGGCGTGTTTGTAACTTTCATCAACCGGAGAAATTGCGGACAATGCTGAAGGAATTGAAGATCTCCAAAGAACCAGCAAGTGAAGACAGCCTGTTGAACATGTGTAAAGATGTTATACAATACAGTGTCAAAACATGTAAGTAACATATGAAACGCAATTTTTATCCGATTTAACATTGTAATTTGTGATCGTGTATTAATGTACATGTGGAAATGTTTAAAGTCTTAACAAATTTTTGAAACTTCCACGGGCACAAATATATATAAATCAAATTTATAATGTGAGCTCTTATTTCCTTTTCCATCTTTCATGTGCTAATGTGTATGCATTTTAACCTTTATTAATTATTTTAATTTTTTTTCTATTTTGTGTGTGTTTGTAGTTATTATAAATTTAGTATAATGCGTGTAATTTCAGCAAATCCACGGTTCTTTAATCAGTTATATGGTGGTATGAATCAGTATTCACTAGCGGGTAACTGGCTGACAGATGCCTTAAATCCTAGTATATATACATACGAGGTAGCTCCAGTCTTTACTTTGATGGAGGAAGAAATATACAGTAAAATGTTACATTACGTTGGATTTGACGGTGGTGATGCTATCTTTGTACCAGGTAAAATACTTAGTGTCCATCATCATTTGTCGACCAATAAAATTGCTCCAATTTTCAAAGAAATGCCCTTCTTAATCATATAGACACGAAATTTTTTCATTTATTAGGTCGAACGTCTAATAATTAAGAGTTTGGAACGAAGTGTGCATTTGTTAACTGAATGTTTACCGGTCGCTTTCTTTTGGGTACTTGAATTTAACTTAAATACTAACAATATTTATACTTCACTTTAGTATAATTATATAGAATATATTTCACTGGAAATGAAACAGGTGCGAGACATAGGCGTGTGCATTTCATGTTAGTTCTCTAGCTCTATTACAATTTTATGGAAACTGGTAAAACTCTGGTAAGTTTAAAAACGGGTGATTTTGAAAACCTATATCTTACTGATTAAACTAAATAGCTGTTTATATTGAATTAAACAAAGTACTTTTTACTTGAAGGAGGATCAATGGGAAACATGTATGGAATGAACATTGCACGTTATGCGAGATTTCCAGAGATCAAAACTGACGGGTTATATGCTGTCAAGAAACCTATTTGTGTGTTCACGTCTGAAAAGGTTGTCTTCTAGTCTGTTTTCTCTTCCAAGTTGAAGTTGGTTAAAATATTATGAACTAAGAAAGTCTAAGATTAATTTTACTGCTTAAAAGTTGTTCTACTTACTCATGACCTCATATGGAACCCAAGAACGAAGCTACATATGAGGCACCTTTCCCCCGATATTATATTGTCTTATATTACATATCTAGTCTTTAATTTTCTTTTCGTCAATTGCTGTGAAGAAGATAATTAAATAAGAATACATATATTTTTTTTATTTAAAATGTCGTTTTCACATTCTATCAAATCTGCAGATTTGTTTTTGTTAAGGGAGTTTGTATATATTGTACATATTGTTTTTTCGTGTGTCAAAATTATGGTGTGAAAATTATAAATTATCCCTATTGTTGTATCTTTTACGGACAGTGTCATTATTCGGTGACGAAGAGTGCAGCTTTGATGGGTATCGGTATAAACAATATCATCTATGTAAAGTCGGACAAAATTGGTAAAATGATACCAGAAGAACTAGATCGAGAGATAAACGCGGCCAAAGAAAAGGTAATTTTTGTATACATACATGAAGCTCTAGCGAATAGAGTGGTAATTCATGATATTAAAGAACTTTTCAACATTTCTATACTGTCATATCATTACACACTGTCAAACTAATTAATTTCAGGTTCTAAATAACACCACACGTGTATAGCTTACATTTATTCAATATCAGTATTTTATATTCTCTATTCTGGTTGTATTGAACATATCGGAAATTTTGAATTATTTCATGTTTAATTTAACATCATGCGCTATAATATCTACATTCATAAAAACATAAAACACTATTTCCAAGGCGTGAACTGTACAGTATAGTAACAAACAAAATATAATGTTATGTCAAATTAGGTACATAAGAAGCAATGCATATATTTCAGGGTTACGAGCCATTCTTTGTAAATGCTACAGCAGGGACAACAGTTTTAGGAGCTTATGACCCTATCGATGAGATATCAGATATCTGTAAAAAGCATGGCCTCTGGCTTCACGTGGACGGCGCGTGGGGCGGAAGTGCAGCAATTTCTACCGAATACAAGTATCTTGTAAAGGGAATTGAAAAGCAAGTATAGTATTTTGATGTGTAGAATAAATTTAGCTTGCCTTTAGTTTTCACGTTAGGTTGTTCTGAAATATCCTTGCTTAAGTGAGGGCAATGGTAGCCGTTTAAATATTTTAACTTACTAAAGCATTCGGCATAAAAGAATTTTAAATACGAAATACGCTTAAAGTTTGTTTTTATCTTTTTTTTGTTGGTTTTCATGAGAAATTCATTTGTTTTACAGAGCTGATTCAATGATATGGAACGCACATAAGATGATGGGTGTCCCCCAGCAATGCTCTATATTTCTTACAAAGCACAAGGTAACTTCTTGAAAATAATTTTGGAAGTACATGTAATATATGTATGCATAATTATGTTACACGTTAGGAAATACATGCACTACTTGGATTTTCCGATTAATCATTTACATTTAAACCAGCATAAACAATAGTTGCGAAAAAGTTGTTTATTAATAAATCTGTATTTCTATAGTAAATGATATAACTAAATCTTTAATCTGACTTTTGAATAAGATATGAAAACTTATTATTTACATTTATTTACTTCAAGGATATAATAAAAGAATGCCACAGCGCTAACGCAGGTTATTTGTTTCAACCAGACAAGCACTATGATGTCTCATTTGACACTGGTGATAAATCTGTACAATGTGGTAGAAAAGTTGATGTGTTTAAACTGTGGATGTTATGGAAGAAGGAAGGTGATAGTGGTATGGAAAATCGGATAGATCACCTGTTTATGTTGTCTAGGTAAAACACCCATCCGATATATGTAGACATAAACAAACTAATGCAATATCTGTAGACATAAAGAATCTGATCATATATATGTAGATATATGACACTCATCCAATATCTGTTGACATAAAAAATCATCATATATATGTAGATATAAGACACTCATCCTTATTATTTAGACATAAAACACTAATCCTATATAATATGTAGGCAGAAGACACTCATCTTATATACGTAGGAATAAAAACACTCATCCTTTATATGTGGACATAAAACAATTATCCAATATAGGTAGACATAAGGCCCTCATCTGTAAACATACAAAATGTAGACATAAACAACACTCATCCAATTTTTGTAGACATACATATATATGTTGTCATAAAAACACTGATCATTTATGTTTAAATGAATAAAGAACACATCATATTTTGTGTAAATGTGAAAATTACTTACTCTTGATTACACTTTTTATTTGACAAAAGGGACATGCTCTATTATATAAATGATTCTTTTTGAAAATCTTTAAATAACAGTATAGTTAAAACTGATACTTGATAAAGATAAAATTAGTTTAAGAATAAGTTTTGATCATTTCTTTGTGTGATATTACACAGATATTTAGCGGACCTGTTGAAGCAGAAAGAGGGATTCAGACTTATACAGGAACCAGAGTGTACTAATGTATGTTTCTGGTATATACCACCAAGCTTAAGAGGTCAAGAGGAGTCAGAAGAATGGTGGGATAAACTTGCTAAGGTTTGTGATCTACGTTAAATACTTTTTATACCACCTTCATTAACGTGTGGATGACTGTAAAGGATAGGCGATGATTTACATTATGAAATCTTTAAAAGTAGAATGATGAACAAGATTTGTAAATGCTATAAAAACATTATATCATACACCTGAAGGTGAACGTTTATGTTATAAAGTGTTTAGTTTGTACAAATTCAATTTAGTTCGATTGTGTTGTAATTGGAAAACTCTCGAATCCGTTCCTGGAACCAACCAGTACTAAGAAATGAATAAAAAGTTTATTGGTCATGGAAACAATAGTTTGGCACTTACGGTTTGAGCCCACGCGGTCAGCAATCGCTATTGTTATAAACAGTTTTTTAAATCATATTTTTGATGTATTTTACAACAGGTTGCCCCAGCAATCAAGGCTGGTATGATGCAGTGTGGCTCAATGATGATCGGATATAACCCTGACGGAGATCTCATCAACTTTTTCAGAATGGTCCTCACTAATTGTGACACAAAAACAAAAGATATGGATTTCCTGGTGCAGGAAATAGATAGACTAGGCCGTGATTTATAATGGGATGGGGCAATAATAAACCAATGATAGTTATTAGTCGTATTACTTAGACGCAAAGTGCAATCGCTTATCTCATATCTTGCTTTTATTACTTTGACCTCTATGATATTAACCTTCAAGGTAAACTTTCAGAATTCAGGAATTTTCACCATGGAATATTGACAATTTTGGACGTCATGAAAAATATTGTCGTCATCTTACTGATACAGTAATCGATTTTTATTGGTAAATATTATCATATATACTATGTTTATCATTGTTTGCCAACGTAACCTACAAAAGAAACTACCAGACACCTAAGATCATACATATTTACAAATAGTTCAAGTCGGCTCACTATAGATTTTACGCTAACTCAATGTTACATTATAATTCTCAATTTTTACACATTTTACATTCCTCGTCAATTGGAAGCGACTTTTTAGTGATATGTTTATGAAGCTGAAAGTATTCAACTTTAATGAATTCTTTAGTGGTACTTGTAATGAGGGGTCACTTATGATGACAAACAAAACAAAATAGCAAAAATTTAATTACTAATGTTATTATTGAATTTCATTGTAGTATGAAAAATGTGCTAAAGAGCTGAAAAGTTCAGCATAGTAACTACTGAGCATGTTGTAGAAATTAAAGTCGTATTTGACTCAAAGTCAATGAGTTTGTCTACCGTATAGCGAAAGAAACGTGAAATCTGCAAGTCGGTAATAATAAAACAACAACATCAATCATAAGTAATCATATATAATGATTGTTCCTGTACTTTTCTTCCATTAAATCGTAAAACATGTATTTCATACTGAAAACTTGTATATCAACCGTTTTTCGAAAGGATGCTAAAAAATTCAGATACATTATTTAACTGTACGGGAACAGAAATCTAAATTATTACAGAGTGTTTGCATGCTGTTATTCAGCAGAATCATGCAAATGCTATAGGGAGCTTCACTGAGGTCAAAAAGTCTAAAAAAAACATAAAATTTGGAAGTCTTACATAGATCATCTGGGACATTAAAATTTGGGGGAAAAAACAATAAAAATATAATGAATAAATAAAACTAGGTGTTAATTGGATATCAAAAATAAGTGCGATTCTTTCCCCGATTTCAGATAACATGGTTTAAACACTTTACAATTTTAAGGTCAGTTTGCATAATAAAAATAAATATTCTGGAAAAAAAAGAAGCCAAAGTGCTAAAGTTTTGCACACATGTTACTGGTATAGAACTTCTTCAAATGATATAAAATTTGTGAGAAAAAAAAAACAATGTGATGTGTGAAAATAGAAGAAAAATTGTAATTTCATGATTCGCAATTCTCTATTGTTTTTAAGTGTTTGTATGCATATATGTTTGAAATGTTACTTTTAGATATAAACTTTTCTCATATGTGTGGATATGTGTAAAAATTTTGTTAATTTGTAAATGCAATGCTGTTTAATTTCTGTGTTTCAGTTTGGTTTATATATAAACTTAATTTTACCTTATTAAAAGAACAAATATGCTTGTTTTACATTAATATTGTTACTGTTAACAAAAAATAATAAATAAATTATCAATATCTGTCTCATGTGTTGTGTTTAAAAATTCCCTTCACAATCTGTTTCTACATTATTTACGGCGTCTTAGATCTACTATTCAAGTTCCTAACTGCAAGAGGTAGAGATTGGTCATTTTCTGAACAAAACTTGAACCTTGGACCGTCATAATACTGCTTTGCTGCTCTACTGATTAAAACATTTACTCGTGATGGTAAACCCATTAAGGCGGACTTAATTATGGTTTAGAACATGTATACTGAGGGAAAATGTGAAAGAGGCCAGTATATTTAGTAAATGGACTGTTGTTCTCCCGACCCCGCCCTTCTCCCCCCCCCCATTCAACCTCAACAGCCTAAATGTAAAGCTTTGCATGATGAGCATCGATACTGCGTCTGTCGTTCACACCGACCAACATTGCCCTCCTGTGTACTTTATTTGACTATTAGTTTAACAATTTCTTAACAGGGACATAATTTCTTAAAAATATTTTAAGGTTATTTCATTACATTTTAAATTTTTTTCGCATTCAATCTTTCTTAAAATGTGTTAAGTAGGTAAGGAAGACAAAAGCTAATTTAGCTTTCTTGCAGATCAGATTGGTATTTCCGTTAGTTTTACCCATGCTGGAAACTTTCATCTGACACGAAGGGGGGGGGGGATGGGGTGCCGGATAAGTCGCGTAAGGAAATAGCTACATATTAAATGACATTAATTTCTATGAAAAATGTTTTATTGTGAAAAGCATTTAAAATATGATAGAGCATTGAAGGATATGCAAGAAAAAATATCTGACAAGTGTTTTTGTTCAGATCGGAATATCCGTCCCTCGGCAAGTCTCGTTACCGCCCAATGGGCGGGGTTCCCTCGGGACTGTAACATATGACACATATATATTCAAAATGAGATAAATAAGGCTATAGCACATGCATAAATTGATCATTTGGAATTTTCTGTAGAATGTTAACACTGTAATCATTGGTTTAATTGAATCTAATCAGTTTCCACCATAGGAAATGAATTCACAAAGCCTAGCGCAAAAGGTATCATGTGGGAAGTCGCCAAAACTCGTTCAAGAGGGAACCAATCACTCTCGGATTTGGATTTCCCAACCCATTTTAATTGATATGTTCATTTTTTTCGCAAACATATGTCCCACGCTCTCTATACAACATCGATGGTGTTGAAATCATTATTTGAAAATGCTCAATTTTTGTCGATATAAGGTATTAGCACCCTGCATTACCTCCGCTTTGAAGAGTATTCAAATAGGCTAGAACTACTGTTAACTAGATTGAAAATGAGGGGCCATGGGTTCAATCCCCAGAAGGGTCAACTTTTTTTTTTCTTTCTTTTTTTCTTTTAACATTATTTATGTATCTCTCATGTCCCATTTGGAAAGAAAAAAGTGTTTAATTTAGATTTTTTAATTTATATAGGTATTTATTGGCTAAATTATGCTTAATCTAGTAATAAATATGGTACCTGATATTTTCAAAGTGTGATATAATCAAAACTAGACGGTAAAAGTATTTCATATTTTACAAGATCAACCAATATACCTTTTTAATAATTTAGGGAAACTTTGAAAACAGGCACTCATTTGGTTAAATTTTAAGAATTTTTCAAATTAGGCTCCCTAAGTAGAAAAATGGTCAGACACGTGGTAAAAATGGGTGGGGTAGGGTAACATTTTTATACAGATTTCATAAATTTTAAGTAGAAACCATAATTTTGCTTATGTGGATTGTTAGCTGAATGGTACTATTTGTTTCTTACCAAAAATTAATGGGAAAACATTTTTCATTAGAATGTTATTGCAGATTATTTAAAGGTTCCGCATTTCTAAAAAAGGGCCCTCATAACATCCTAGCTTGAGTTCAGAAAAGTGGCCAAAACTTAATTTCAATGATATATTGGTCGGGTTGTCGTCGAGAAGAAGTCGTAAAACATCGTGTAGGGTCGACTTCAGGTCGTGTAGAAGTCGTGAATGTGCATATTATATATACGCACTCTTGACACTTAAAACGGAAGTATAAACTTTGGCTGAGGTGACTAAGTATAATTGAGATTAACGAAAACGATGAAAAGAGTAGAAAAATACATTTTGATTTTGAAATTATTATACAAGCATTTCTAAAGCTTGCTAATGTCATGAAGCTAAATCTGTTCTTATGTAAAAGAAAAAAATTATAACCAAATCAAATCTATGAAAAGTAAAAAGGAAAATTCCACTTGCAGATGGTCGGAATCCAGTATGTAAATAATCCTGCATGGATACACCATTTCATCTATCAAAAATAACCTGTCATGGTTTTTTTCCGTCCTTAATTTTAACTTACTTACATGGTAACATTGGAAATTTTTATCATGATTTCCAGTTTAACCCACTTTAATGGACATCATGATCTCTTGAAAAGTAATATCGTCCCACTTATTTTTAAATGTTAAAGCTTTAAATCCGTTTTACGCGTGTCTATATATCTATTGTTAACTGGATTATACTTTGTATGTACACGTCAAATTAAGTTCATGGTCTTGTTAGCACATTCATGATCTGTCTAACACTAGCCAATCTATTTTATTTTGATATTAACCGATTAACTCATTTTAAACGTAATGTGGTCAAGACCAGTAAATAGGACGGTATATTTCCATATCTAGATCATGTCTGGGTGAACTGACAAAAACAGGTAAATAAATATTCCCGTCAATTGATAAGACAACATGTTATTTCTTCTTTCGGTATTTCTTTATATTTCTCAAAAAATAAAAAGAATGATAAATTGCTTTCTTAAAAATCAAAGTTTAAATCTTTTCGTAAAACTATAGCTTTTTCTTTTAGATTGAATCTTCATTTTTATTTTATTTTATTTTATCATTTTTTTTTAAAACAAAAATGAGTTACAAAAAAACTGAAACTATTAGTAAGAACATATTTCCATCACAATGTAGGCCTACATGTAACTATCTCTCTTAATGGAAACAAATGGGTTTTTGTTTGTATTTTTTCCCTTATTTGATGCTTCGAATTTTCTATGAAGCATATGATGCCCATTTGTCTAACAGTGTTTTGTAACTGGTGTTGCTAAAATAACAATTAAGAGTAACAAAGACGTTACAACGGCTACTAGTACAGAAGGCAATATCTAGCTCGAGGGTAACAGTACTGTTTACGGCGGTAACATTGCTCTGTCGAGTTTCCGCTAAACAGATTCCCGAGAGCTAGATATTCCCGCAGGTGTTTGTTTCTTTTTTTCTTGCATATCAAATATCGATCATACGTGCCTTTTAACCTTTTACCCCATGAGCATATTGCGAAACATGACCGTTTTCATTGATAAGCCTCCTGTTACAAGTTCAAACTCCTATGAAACTATGAAAAATGTTTCAATACTAGCGAAACTTGGCACAAATGTTGACTAGACCATAGCCTCCGTAACAGCATGCTCAATCATCAATTTCCTGTTACCATAACAACGGGAGACGTCTCAAAATCGCCAAAAATCACTATTTTGCATTGGTTTTTTTTTCAAAGTGCTGCAACTTCTCAATGAATTGAGATAGAGTAAAAAGCTTTTCAGCGTCGGTTACTAGTTACCCTAAGATCGACCTGAGGCCATTTTTAGCCTGTCACATGTCCAAAATTTCTTGGCGATGAGGGGGACTGCCGCCCACACTTCAATTCCCCCAAACAGAAGGGGGCACATCCCCCTTCTGGCACCCCCTGATGTAACATTTGGATGGGGGTGGCGTCGAAAAAGTGGTCACTTTTTAAACAACATTTCTCAAACGAAAAACAGTGTTTCGGGCCAAAATAGGGCATTTTTTTCAGTGTTCGAGGCCTCAAAAAGGGGGGAGGACAAAAAGTCGTCAAAACACGTCTATATTACGGAAAAGGTTAAACATCTAACATGTTTTTAAACTATTATTAAACCATTATTAAGCAGAATTAAAAATATGTATTTCAGATACATAATGTTCCTTTACGGGTATCAACTTATCAATGGTAAAAACGCCCGAAAAATATTGTAGGTGTTAGCTTTACTGGTTAGGGAAGATCACTCGTACGTAATTTAAACAAACATACTGAATAAATTACCTCCCTTGTACTACACTAAAATACTCGGAATTTTCGTACAAAAAATATGAACTGGTCTCGTATTTGTAAAGATATTCAAAACATGGATATAAATTTGTCGATAGTGTTGTTCTTAATTATCTTGGAAATCGGAGTATATTAAATAAACAAAGGTTTTATAGACTACTTTTGCCTTTATAATCTAAATTATGTAACTTACTCCTCTCTAAAATAGTCTAAGATAAAACCACTTTGATTTGTTTCAACACAACACTGTGAATAAAGTAAAAGTTTACAACAAATATGAAAAAAAGCAAATATTCATGTAAGAAATCTAACTCTTTTTAATGGAGTAAATGTATATAACAAATCTCCTTACAATTACAGAGCTCACATGAAACATACATGTTTGTACTTCTTCTCGGCTAACCAATTTCTCTTTGGCTTATCAAGTACATGTACACCCTGAATATTGCCCAAAACTAAGTCACAAATTGCTGACTCTCAAACCATAGCTTCTATTTCACCCTTATAATAAGGTGTATCAATGTCTATTTTTGCCGTGGGCACCAACCTGGCCCGACCAACTATTGCTATCATGACACTATTTTCAGCATTTGATTTTCTTTGACCAACTTCTTTCTAACTACCGCTTACTCGCAATCAGTGTCTCTTAGAACTTTCACATCTTGATTACCAACATTTCCTAGTTTCAGATCTAATTGACGTTCACCTTCTAATGAATCAAGTGTACAGCTGTTAGTTAGTAATGGCAGGCACATAATAACCATTGGCTAATTTAAGTTCCCGCTCTTTGATGCAACCATCATAAGAGCATATATATGAAACGGACATACATAATCCCAATGCTTTCTTGCCATCTAATCTCCTATCACGTCTATTTTCTCAAGACCTACTACGCCAGTTCCTTGGTGAAGGATCCCGATTTGTTTTATAGTTTTTTTTTCTATTTTGCTCGTCATATGCCATTGCAGCAGCCTCATGTCTTCTCATAGCCTGATCTCGACACTCTGGCAACATGACCCTCTCAGCAAATTACTCTTCTGTTTTCTCTGTGATAGTACTGTGCTGGTTTCGAAGGATTACTTTCATTTAGGCGAATTGTTGCTTTATTTTAAATATGAACAACTTTTGAGCTTTTACTATTGGTAATTGTACCGCCATGCGCCTCTAAGTATTGTTTACCCAACGTGATGACATCTCTGCAATCCTTTGGCTTTCGTTCCTTGAAAAAGAGCTATCTCTGTTGAACAAACTTTGTTTTTCTGTTTTTCTCTATTTTTTGACAAATTGCTCTCTAATAATTAGATCTTTCAATTCATCTGTTACGTCGGCCATTTCTGTCCATCTAGTAAAGTATCTATCAAAACCGAGCAATAAACTGGTTGACAGTCTTTCCTTGGCTCTAAATTTAGTTCTGAAACCCTCGTATGTTCATCATTATCTATTCAGAACTGCTGTTTTTAATTCCCGGCAGTCTGATGCTTGCTCAGGGGACATGCTAGTGTAGACATTAAGGCCCTTCCCCGTTGTTAACGAGCTTAAGCTTAATGCCCATGTATCTTTTTTCCAGCCTTGACTAATGCAGAATCTTTCAAAACGCTCCATATAGGCATCTATGTCATCTTTTGACTCTTCGAATTTTGGCAATCTTTCCTTGTCGGTTTCTATTAATTTATCTCTCCTTATGTATACCTTTAGTGATAAAATAGAGAAAATAAAAATCCCTATAGAAAGCCCAACACGACAAAATTGAAAATGTTGCAGGCTCGGTTTGATTGTTCATGATGCCCTGTAGGTGGCATTGTAATATAGAGATTATAGAATGGTGTACCCCTGTAGCACCGACAATTGTTTAACCAATTCTAATCTCTATATTACAATGCCACCTACCGGGCACCAGTTCTACACTATATTAATAGTAACCTACTAAATCTTTTCCCAATATTCAACTACCGAGTAAAAATTTCATAAAAACAACCAAATGAGCACAGGTAAAAAATTCTTAATAAACTATTACTTGCACGCTTTTATGAACTATCTCCAACTGGACAACGGTTATGAGCTTTATAAATTACTGATGTCTAACTTCATTAAAGTACAATCTATATCTATATTATATCTTTATCATTGAAATAAACTTATAATCGCATTGATTTAAACTAACTATCACAACAAATGTCTCCCCAAAATATGATAAACAAGATCAACAAGGAAAGGCGGCGTTTATTGAACGCAACCCCCAAACGACCCAGCAACAAGAACCAGTGGCACAGACAGTATTCAACAAATGGTGCTTTCCTGCTGAATATAATAATTCTTCGGTTGACATACAATTTAAACACAGTACGTCACCGCTTCTCTTCACTAGAGACAACACTACAACACAAATTTATCAAGTTAGCCCAACAGTTTTTTTACACTGATCTATTGGAAATGATCTACCAAAGTTTTTAAAAAATCATTTAAAGCACACTATTTTGCCAGAAAACATTCCAACTTAAAGATAATTTTCAGGAGAATTATTGGCTTTGATGTTATTTAATCTCAGGAACGATTAAAACTATAAACAATTTCAAAGATATGGAGGCAGAGCAGCACCGCCTGAATTATACTTGAAATATTTCCAGTTGGATAACTAGCAAGTAATTGTATAGTTAACATTATTTGCTAGGTATTTATTTTATCTTTTTCTATCTCATATCCATTATGTACATTAAAACAACAAACACTGATTATTATTTACACCCAAATCAAGCACGCACAATTTATTAACCACTTATACAAAATATCTTTTCATGTATACGTCTTTTATACGAAACAATACTAAACAACCGGCGAGCTCAAGCTCAAAACAACTTTTGATGAAACAAAACATTAAAATCGCCAAAAAAGAAAAACATAAAAAATGAACTATTTTAAAACTTTAAAGATCCTGTATGTTGTAATGTAGGATGTAAGTGAAATTTTATATATGTATATAATTATTCTTCTAACACAAATTACAAACATCCAAGAATATGTAAGATATTTACTGCAAATGTTTATACATATTATAAGTAATCATTAAAATATATGCACTCATTTCTCATTGAAAATGTTGGCTAAAACTTTATCGGAAATAAATTTCTAATTATCTTTCCGGTAATATCTTTACAAATTATGCTTTTTGGAACTTACAATAATGATAAATCTTTATTTGAGCATTATACCATAAAAAATTCAGTTACAAGATCTTACGATACAGTATAATCCAAAAACATTCAATGCACAAAATCAAACATCAGAAAACAACTCCAAAACAACCAATATTTACAGATATCTTCAAAACCAAAGCAATAGCTAAAAGAATCTTTACAAATACAACTCAATCAACATCAACCAAACATATCTTACAAAACAAACAACTAAAACAACTAAACACAACCGATAGACCCTGATCAATTAAGATCACCACAATAAAATTCAACCAAATTCGACAAATCAACAAAACTCCTATCACAACAATTTTCTCTTCTCTAAAAAATAAATGCTACAGTACACACGTAAATTCGATCATAAAATATTTGCTAGCTTAACGATTTTACATGACTGTATAGAGTTTATACAAGTGCTTTAAAAATAACTGTTCACTGAAACATGACATTTACACTACACATCGCTGTAGAAAAAATATTATTCTGACATGTAGATATAGTAATACGTATTTACTGGATAAAATATGTGTTATATGATGTCCCGAAGATGTTTAAAGAGTATCTCCGATGACATAATACACATATGACGGATAAGTAAGCTTTTAGAGTATGTATGCTTGATATATGTATATATTTAAAAACCGCATTTGTATCATTCTGGACGGAAACATAGAATTTAGTTATAAAAGTTGTTTTTATTTTTTTTTATGTAATAAACGTTTTGATATTATTTGCTTAGTATTTTCTTAAATGTTGATATGTATCATCTTTGTGTCGCCTCTACGGAGTAGTGGCGACATATAGGGATCACTTCTCCGTCGTCTGTCTGTCTGTCCGTCCGTCCGTCCGTTCGTCCGCTCTCACTGAAATGACGATGTGGGGTGAATATCCATGTTCAATCCGTACAGACGGTACTTGTGGGGAAAAAGGTTGCTTATGGGGTGCAAATACGTTGCTTATGGGGTTTTAGAGATCAAAGGAGATCAAAGAAAAAAACCCATAATGTCAACTCAGTAGGAACGGACGTTTTTCCACCTGTCCGTCCGTCACAAAACTTGTCCGGACTACCTCTCATAAACTACTGGTGCAATTTTATCCAAACATTACAGGGATGATCAGTACCAATTGAAGTTGTGCATATCGTCAACATTTTCCGGTTCAATGAATTTTGTCAGAGTTAAGGCCCTTTAATAATTTTTGTTTTTAAAGTTTGTCCGGACTGCTCCTCTTATACCACTAATGCAATATCAATGAAACTTTACAGGATTGATCTGTAGCTCAAGTCCTTGTGCATATTGCACAGGTTTTCCGGTTGAATTATTTTTGGCGGAGTTATGGCCCTTGAACAAAAAAAAAGTGTTTTTTTGTGTATTGCAAGATACACAGAAGCTTGTGCGGACTACTAAAAAATACCAGTGCAATTTCATTAATACTTTACACGAATTATCAGTACCAAGTTTAATTGTGAGGAGTTAAGGCTATCATGGGGCGACACATGTCATCACTAATGGGCCTTGTTATTTTGTGCCAGTTAGTGTGCGTGCGTGCGAGCGTGTGGTAAATGTTGAGTGTGTGCGTGTGATAAATGTTTTCCCTGTTTTATTTTCTGTCCAAAAAAAAAATAAAAATAAAATAAAGCCCTTGTCATGAAAGTATTTATGAACAATATTTTCTTAATTCGTATTCATTCATACAATTCTTATATCTTCTTATTATATGATAACAGCCAACTTCTTCAAATCTACATATCTAATCAAACCTTTTTAAATATTGCATTTAATACAGAATAAATTAACAAACAAGTGGCCTTGCTTATTAAATGTTTAACTAAATATATGAATAACTAAATAAATTTAACCAATATTTTTATTATTCTCTATTTTTTAGATATTTAATTCTCCGACAACGTTCACCAGCTTTGAATATTCAGCGAACAATTGCCGATTTCAAAACAAAAGGACATAAGAAGAAAAGGGAAAGTACAAAGTACATGAATTAGATGTTGACAAATTGCTACAGAAATGACAGAAGTAAAAGAAAATTTTAGTGAAGTGACCGAAAACTTCGATGGGGCTAAAAAAGAACAAGGCGCAGGTCTGTTATTTGATAAATCTATTCTCATCAAGTAATACCAAAAATATACTGATATATCAATATGTACTGTATATGCACAATAAACACCCGGTAAAAATTTCTGACAGATAGGCGTAAAAAGAATAAAAATCCTAATAGTCAAACGAAGCAATATGGAAACAAATGTAATTATGAATTAATAGATACATTATTATCTAATTCGAAAGGCAAATGCGAAAACTTATACTGATATTTGCCATGGCTCTATATTAGCTATTTACCTTTCTAGAATGGCGATTAGGTAATTAGAAATTACCAAAGTACGTATGCTTTGTCAATATCGACCACAATAAACGAATCTATGACAATAATCATTTGTAAACTATTCGTTCATCGTTAGCTGTTGTTACTAGATAATACTAGTGCCCGTCTATCTATTAATTTTATACGACTAACACATTTAGGAAAATGATCAAAATATAAAAGTGATTACATGTGTTTCTATCTATTTACAGAGAAAAGTAATATAGATGCTTCTTCTATACACAAAGACGAGCAAAAGTATTATAATCTCAAGAAAGGTAAGTAAATATTGCTGAAGTAAGTAAATATTACTTGAAATAAGTGGTTATGGTAGCTGTTTTTTACTGCAGTAATAATCATGACAGTAGCGTTAAAAGTCGACCTGTAAGCTGAGCTGGTGAAACTGTAGTATTGATGTTAAATGTATTTGAAGCTGTTGATACTATAATATTGACAATGATAATAGTTGTAGTGTTAGCTGTTGAAACTATAGTTTTGATATTATTTTTTGTTGTAGCTGTTGATACTTACAGTTGTTAGCTGAAGATACAGTAGTATTGATGGCAATAGTAGTTGTAGCTGTTGATACAATTATAAAGATAATGGTAATAATGATAATGTGTTAACTGTTGATACAAATAGAAATGATATTAATTTTAGTTGTAGCTGTTGCTACTTTATTACTGTAAGCTGTTATTACAGTAGTTTTGATGTAAATAGTAGTTGTTCCTGTTGATACAATGTTATTGATTATTATAAACTTGTATGTGTTAGCTGCTGAAACTGTAATGTAGTTGTAGCTGTTGTAGTAGTTGAAGCTGTTGATACTATGTTATTGATAATGATAATAGTTGTCGTTTTTGCTATTAAAGCTGTACTGTAGTTGTAGCTGTTAATACTATGTTATTGATAATGATAATAGTGGTAGCGTTAGCTGGTGAAGCTGTACTGTAGTTGTAGCTGTTAATACTATGTTATTGATAATGATAATAGTGGTAGCGTTAGCTGGTGAAGCTGTACTGTAGTTGTAGCTGTAAATATTATGTTATTGATAATGATAATAGTGGTAGCGTTAGCTGGTGAAGCTGTACTGTAGTTGTAGCTGTTGATACTATGTAATTGATAATGATAATAGTGGAAGTGTTAGCTGTTGAAACTTAACTATAGTTGTAGGTGTTGATACAATGTTTTTGATAATAAAAAATAGTGGTGGCGTTAGCTGGTGAAGCTGTACTGTAGTTGTAGCTGTTGCTACTATGTTATTGATAATGATAATAGTGGAAGTGTTAGCTGTTAAAGCTGTACTGTAGTGGTAGCTGTTGATACTATGTTATTATTAATGATAATAATGGTAGTTTTAGCTGTAAATACAAAATAAATGTTAGTAGTGTAACTGTAAGCTTATGTTAAAGTAATATTGATAATGATAGAAATGTTAAAGTAGTGGTTATAATCAATATATACAAAAAGATACAGATTTTTATTGAACAACTGTCTCTACTCTTTTTCAGAACTTCAAGCTGGCCTGATTAAATTGTACAGAGATAAATTGAGTGTTATACCCATGGCCCCGCTTCTTGAAGAAATACAGACACCTCTAGCTGGGTTTTATGTGATGCCAGATATGGTCGCTGTTAAACAGAAGTCTTATATAAACGAGGAAGTGGATAGAACACGAGTCAAATCTTTTAGTGATCTATTTTCAACTGGAAATGAAGGTCAACAAGAAATATATTTAACGGCTGAGGAAGGTTTTGGAAAAACTGTTTTGTCAAAATATCTTGCAATCACGTGGTGTCAAGTTCATTGCCAAGACGAAAACCATGCTTGTTTTAAAGATGAGGATTTAAAAGGTTTATCTAACTTTGAGTTCTTATTTTTGATTTTATTAAGAGATTCAACCGATATTTGTAGCATATACCAAATGATTGAGCTGCAAAATATTGCCCAATTGCCTCCGTCAGTATCACTAGAAGAAGTTTTACGTAGAGAAAAATGCTTGATAATATTAGACGGTCTTGATGAATGGACACACCCAGATAATGGCTGTAGCAAGTTAAAAACTGTTCCACATCGGTATGTACAAGAACATAATTGTGTTATCCTTACGACTGTTCGTCCATGGAAGCTTGAGGCTTCAAAAAGTACAACATGTCATATAACCAAGACAGTAGAGTTGGTTAAACTAAATGACGATGCCGCGCGTGTACTACAGGAAAATGCCATAAGAAAAATTGCCGGCGTCCATGATGAGGATGTATTGAAGGGTAAAATACGGGACTTTAATAAAGCTTTACGTGACCGTTGCATAAAACATATACAAGCAGTTCCACTACTCCTCGTTTATATTGCATACTTATGGTGTAACGAGATACCTACAGGGAATTCAAAGCATGAAGTTTATACCAATATCGTCGAATTTCTATTAACAAGGACGGCAAGAAAACACACGGAAGTTCAACCATCTTCTGAATCTTCTGCTATTGACATCCCAGCATACTTCAGTGATTACCACTTTTGTAAAACATTTAGCTCTCTTATAACATCGCTATCAGAATTAGCTTATCAGACAATGTTTAATGAAACAAGAGAAAACACGCTGGTGTTTGATAGACTTGTTGCTGACAAATATCTTAAACCAGACGACATGAATACCAGCCTTCTCTCAGGATTATTGTCAGAAAGCAAAGCTAAAAATTTAACAAAAGAAATTACTAAAGTATCGTTTTCTCAAAAACCTGTTCAAGAGTTCTTTGCCGCCATATTTATAAGCTCTCAAAGTGGCACTAAGAAAACAATTTTAGAAAGATGTAAATCTGTTCACGACATTCTGAACATGTCAACAGTTTTTGATTTTATAAGTGCAATAAATGTTGACCTGATGTGTTCTATTTTAAAGTATCTTCCGTCTGTTATGAATGAAGATGAGAAAACATTCAAATATAGAACTACGACAGGTTACAGTCACTCATTGCATAACGTACAGAACATGTATATGTCGTGTTTAAAAGAAATTCCTGAAAATGAAATCCTTCAATTATGTTTACAAGATTTCTTCATTGATGAGGGCAATGAACACAGTGAGCAGTTACAACGATTGTCGAAACAAAATAAGACCAACATAAAATCGCTTTATATAAAATCTGACGAGACTTCTAACTGTTTACGTGAAATTGTCGATTTATTCTCTCTCACAGATCTCAGTCATATACAGAAACTGTACTATCATAGTGACAGTAAAACGGAAGCTGATATAACTTTTTTATTGTTTCCCAGTTTACTTTGCGTCGCTTTTTTGTCTGGTAAATGGACAAATAATGACGAAAATATGAGTGAAAATTTGGCGCGATTACAAAATTTACAATGTTTACACATTGGACGTTTCACTTTATCTCACAAAATACTGGAAACAATTTTGAATTTTATCTCCAGTACCACATCATTGAAAGAGTTAACATTGGACATTTTAATCTGTAAAGAACACGACGATGAGTGTAAAAGTTTGAACTTGGACTTGTCTCAACATGATAGTCTAAAAAAGTTACGTTTAGGGTGGTTACCTACGTTAAAATTAGATGTAACAACAGCATCATTAGTTGATATGACGTTAAGGTGGATCAATTTAGATAAAAATTCATTGTTACTATCACCTGACATGTTGAATATTGAACAAGTCGTGTTTTCGGTGATAGAAATGTCTGCAGAAAGTTTAGAGAACTTTATGTCCGTGCTGGGATGTCTTCCACAGTCAGTCAAAGTAAAGATTATCGATATAGAACCGGAAACAGAATATGAGCGCGTTAGAGAAAATATTCGGAATTCACAAACTCATGATGTGATTGAAGACGACTGCTGGTTTGTGTTCAAAACAAGAAATTAAAGTAAAGAATAGACAATGATATACATTGTAAAGTAAAGTGATAAAATTACTTTTAGTCTGAAAATAGTTTAACAATGGACATTGAAGTGGCAAAATGAAGATTTATGATGTTCATATTGATTGTTATTATCTCATGAAATGAATAAACTAAAAGGCCAATTTAATATTAATTCAGTGAAAGTTGTTACTATATATAAAAACATTTAAATGATGAAACAATGGCAATTGTATCTATTGGTGAATGTATAGTGTAAGGTGGTCAAAGTGTTCAAAGTGGTCACTTTTGTCATGGTAGAGAGATATATAAAACATATAACAGTTTTGATAATGCAGTTTTTATTAATTGATTGATGTCTGTTATATTTCTAAGGTTATTGAATTGTCTTTTAGTTTATTAGGGTAGGATTAGGTACTTAAAATCATTTTTTAAGCTATTACTACCATAATTGAAGTCATCAGACCTCTTCATACTGTTGAGAATGATTGCTGGCGGCATCAAATTGAAGTGAATGAATCTCATTTTAAACCTAAAATCATTAGAACCAGGCTACAAAAATATTTTTTGCATGCTCCGCTTCAAAAAACGACTTTGTTTAAACAAAAAAATAATATCAAATCTGTAAAAGGATAAATCGGAAAATATAATTTTGTCATTAAGAAATCAACGTAAAATTATAGTTCTTTGTCCACTGTGTAGAGACTAATTGAAATATACGATCAATAACTATTAAATGTTAATATAAAGGGAGAAAAAATGTAGATACTAATAATGTTCAGGTTATTTTTTCACTGCCATTCCTTCAATGAAATAAAAAAAAAGTTTGAAATAGTACTTAAGATAAGCCTAATATGACATTTTAAAGTTTACATTAACAGTCTTTATTCAAAGCTTTTAAAAAAAATCCTGGCAAACATTATAAATTATTATTGGAGAGATAATGATACAAACACTACAACGTATGTTTGTAAGTTTATTTATTTATTATTATTATTTTATTGTTTTTGTTCTTGTTTTTTTTTAAATGCAAATCAAACTTTTTTAAACTGTGTGAAGTTCAGGGAAATATCTATATTTTAGAAGTCATACCCGGGCAAAAAAAATGAGCTGAACGGAGATAATTAAAAATAATTGAGGTAGACGTATGACTCTTGACCACTAGACTTCCTCTCACCGACCTTAACGCTGTGGAGTTTTAACCAAATTCATCTAATATATTTTAAGTTATTCTCCAGACAAAGAGTGTAACGGACTGAAGAACAGACAATGCGACGACTAGATGCTCTATATTCAGGGATTCCTACATCCTCCAAATTTCCAGCTTTTCTAGTTGAAGAAGACCTCAGGTGCTTTTCTGTGTATTATTTCAGACACGAAAGGGCACCTGAGTCGAACCACCGACGTTCCTTAAGCTAGCTGCTTTGATAGCTTCCTCACATGAAATAATCACAAGTCCCAGTCGAGATTCGGATCAACACTAGCACAGAAGTGTGGGGCAAGTGGATTGAAGTCAATGACCTTAACCACTCGGCCACGGACGATAATAGGTACATAAAGTACTGTTTCAACAAAGACGTTTTTATATTTTCTTGTAAACTGATTATAAAAGGATTATCTGATAATGAGAATCTTTAGCAAAACTCTGAGTATAACAATTGACAAAATTGATATAAAGAATAACTATTTAATTCTATCACCAAAGACACTGTAAGTGCATGGTTATCACCGGTGCACGAAATTTCGTCGAAAACGACAGTTTGTCGAACATAATATTTGGTTGAATGTCTCAATTCGTCGACACTGAAACTATGACAACTCATCAAAATTAAGTTTTAACAACACGACAATTGATCAAAAATTAATTTTAATCCTACGGCACTACATTTCCGTGCAATATAACTAAATCACAAATAACTAAGTAAATAAAGCTAGTTGCGGTGTCAGTATCAAACATGGGGTTATGGAAATTGTAATTAATTACAATTAATTACAGTTTAAGTAAAAATAAATTACATGATATCGAACAGTAATAACTTACAATTAAAATTATGTATAATATAATTGATTTTAATTACACTTACATCATTTGTATGAACTAAACTGTCAGTAGCCACCCCATCCCCCTATAAGTGCTAGTATTGTTGACAATAATTCATGAATCTCAACACACATAAAGCAACTATTTTATTACAAATTTACAAATCTGGAAACAAAGTGATCCCTTGGAAGCATTAATCACAACAAAACTACATGAAAAAAGCAGACTCTGTTTGATTAAGTCTGTACATGAGGGATAATGAATAAGTGCAACATCTCTTGCGTTGCGCCCCCTAGCACCGGCTTGAGCAGTACTCAATTCTCAACACTTAATAGTGCTGGAATCAATGATCCCAGAGGACGAGAAAAATATAACAGCACTGAAGTGAAGTACAAGTTTATTTCAATACTCAATTTATGAATAACATAACAATGTCAGCTGTAACATATTTTACATAATAATCTATGGAAGGAGAGACATTTTGTATTTTGTATATCAAATAGCAATAATGTTACCAATACAATTTTTTGGTATAGAAATCCATCATGAATCCATTTAACATTATCTAAAGATTTCCTTACTAAATAATTGTTGTAAAAACGTTAAAGATATACAATGCTCGAATTTGATTTTTTTTAAATAAACTAGTATCTTTTTTTAAAAAAAAAGATTACCGTAAATATAGAATAAACATGTTTAACTGACTACACACAAAGTAGATATCTTAAGCTTTAGACTCTACGCATAATATTCATTATAAATAATTAGTGCCATTAAAAAACTGGCTTTTGTTAAGAAAGGACCAACTTTACTTGACCAGTAATAGGGAATGCATACAGTTTGTACATTCTTTAATTCAAATCAGACATATTAGGCAGAATGTCATAGATTTCAATTAATTTCTACTTTTAAAAATATTTTACTCCAGGATGAACATAGTATATTTTTATATATGCGACAGGTCTTTATAGCACACCATGGTATTAATTTTAGACGTACATCAGATTGCATCATTATCTATTAACAAATTTTATTGTAATTTCACTAACGAATATACAAAACTGCTTGTATTTATCATAATGTTTCGTATCTGTATTAATTACAGATTTAAAATCTATATGCTTTTAACTTAGTGAAGGCTTCTCTTTACATTCTGACAGATAATGAAATTCTCATCACCAATGCTACCAATACAGTTACAAAGAGTGCACTTTCCTGGGCGAAGTTCAGTTTTATTCCAGCTTCCATTTACTGCTGGAAGTTTATTATTCCGGGTTCGAAACTTATAAAAAAATTTTAAAACTGTTAATTGAATTATACTGGCTGAGCAAATTCTAAAGTTGGACATCAATCCAAACTTTTCGGCCCTTCGGATAAAATTATTATGAATAAATATCAATTTCAATTGGTTGCTTGATTTGCAAATTCTCGAGGGAATGGATATTAAAATACATAGACATTTTGAAGAACCAAATGATATATTACGAGAAAATGGAAATTTTAGAGCAAAATGTTAATGTTTATGCCGTATTATGAGGTATATACTTATTTAACAATTTTTGAAACGTAATTTGTAGTTAAAATATGAAAAACAAGATCAACAAGGAAAGGCGGCGTTCAATGAACGCAACCCCCACATGACCCAGCAACAATAACCAATGGCAAGGAGCCAAGGCGGACCCCAAACATAAAAAGGACAGGGCAACGACACGTTAATCATTAAATGATAAATAATTTGTAACTGATTAGGAATTCAAAGAAAATAATAATAAGCCAATCATATTCTGAAAGTAATGGTTTTTTTATTAGTTACATTACAAAACAAGAGCGATCAGTAATCACATGTGTCGCCTCATGATGGCCAATTTCATGTTGGGACAAATTTTGTGACAGACGGACAGACAGTGCACAACTAGACTAACCACTTTGTACTGATCATTCCTGTAAAATTTGGATAAAATTGCACCAGAAGTTTATGAGGAGTAGTCCGGACAAGCTTTTGCGTATCTGGCAACACACAGAAAAAAAACACCTTTTTATCAAAGGGCCATAACTAGGCCAAAAATCATTCAACCGGAAAACCCGTGCAATATGCGCAAGGACTTGAGCTACAGATCAATCCTGTAAAGTTTCATTGAAATTGCATAAAGTGGTATAAGAGAAGTAGTCTGGACAAACTTTAAAAATAAAAATTATTAAAGGCCATAACTCAAAACAAAAAATCATTGAACCGGAAAAATGCTGACAATATGCACAACTAGACTTGGTACTGATCATTCTGTAAAGTTTGGATGAAATTGCACCAGTAGTTTATGAGGAGTAGTCCGGACAAGCTTTTTGTGTATCTGGCAACACACAGAAAAAGAAACCTTTTATCAAAGGGCCATAACTCGGCCAAAAATCATTCAACCGGAAAACCCGTGCAATATGCGCAAGGACTTGAGCTACAGATCAATCCTGTAAAGTTTCATTGAAATTGCATTAGTGGTATAAGAGAGAGTAGTCCGGACAAACTTTAAAATTAAAAATTATTTAAGGGCCATAACTCTGACAAAAATCATTGAACCGGATAAATGCTGACAATATGCACAACTAGACTTGGTACTGATCATTCCTGTAAAGTTTGGATGAAATTGCACCAGTAGTTTATGAGGAGTAGTCCGGACAAGTTTTGTGACGGACGGATTGACAGACAGACAGACGGACAGATGGACAGACGGACAGACAGACGACGGAGAAGTGATCCCTATATTTTTAGCCACTACTCCGTAGAGGCGACACAAAAATAAGTATTTGTGATTTTATCATTATTAAATCAATTACATTGTGCACAAAGTAATTGACCCCATGTGTGGTCAGTAAACAATATTTTAGTTTTTACCCAGGATTGTTGTCTGCTATCTACAAACTTGTTTTCACACTTGATGAAACTTATTAACGGGAACATATATCAGGTTTTGTTATTGGCATGGTGCTTTAAGAGAGATTTAGAGAGATGCTAAACTTAAATTACGTTATCTCTCATGAACAAACTTAATCAAATCGAAATTCAATTTTCATTTTCCCAAAATTTATATTTAACTGATTTTTGAGAGTCCCCTTTTCCAAAAATTTAAAAAAAAAGTCATTTTTTTTTTGGGGTTTAAAATATTTTTTTCACTCTATTTTTTTAACATCAACCCAAAAAAAGGGAAAGATCATATTAAAAAAAATTTTAACAAAGAAATTAATTAATGTTGGTTTTCATTAAACCTTCTGGAATCAAATCATCAAAAAAAAAAACTATAATTAAATTTGTATTTTTTGTTTAAATTTAAATTTTGAATATATTTTTTAAGTAAAACACATATCTTTAGATTTGAAAGCATTTTTTAAAGTCAAGGGAAATTTATAAATTTTAAATATAAAATTTTAAAATTTTTAAAATCTGAAGCTTGATTTTTAAAGAGTAAACATTGCATCCTTTTAATTTTTCACCAATAATCCAAAACGCTCGTATAAAAAGTGTTTTCAATCTGGACAAACAAAACTATTTTAGCTGTATTTTTTGTGACCTTATCATGCACCAGACTGAAACTTTTGTATGACCTCCTAAGTATCATGTCTGTGAATCTTGGTCAAATCCATCATGTCTTTTACAGAAATTGTTGGTTATTACGAACGACTTTTGACACACAGTGAATTAATTTCAGTACTTTCCTACAGATGTTGACATTTCCCAAAGCTATGCATAATACATTTATATCATAAAGAAGTTTATTAAACATTCTGAATTTCAATTTCATATTTAGTATCGTCATCACATGAAACTTCAGTATGATTTCTAACCAATATCTTGAGATTTGAAAATCCTTTCAATTCTAGTTTCTTGAGAACAGTGTTCGTGAGATCAAAACAGACATATTGTTCCCGTTCCGAGGAATCTCTCGAAATGCCACGAAGTTCTAAATTTTTCAGCCCTGGTATACATCGTAACGATTTAATAACAGATGCACATTGAGCGTTTGGGCTGACGTCATAAATACAAAGCGTTAGCGCATCTGATGGAAGTATATCTCTAAAATTTTCAAGAATCTCATGTGCTGCTTCACAGGGCACTTCAACAAGTGTTAGATGTTTTACATTTGTCTTTAAAAGTATACTCAAATATTTCATTTTCCCTTTTATCAGATTTTTCGAAACAGAGATCATTTCTGTATAAACAGGAAATTCCTGCGATGGATAGTTTTCATCATTTTCGTGTATTACTTGCACATTTCTCAAACAGAAATCATTGACATAATTGGAGTGTGTATTGTATTCACTTGGAGATAATTCCTTAAATAGCATTTCTGACAATTTACTACCTCCAACAGGATTTATATTGCATGCAAACAGTATTGCGCTGTCCATGTTTAAAAGATTTGTTTCAACTGGATCCTTGTAGTAATCTGCTAGTATGTTAACAACTTCTGTACTTCTGTTTATCAGTGAAAGAAATTGTAGAGAGCTAGCTAAGTACATGCCCGCAAAGAATTGGTGAAATGCATTGTGTATAAAGGAAAGACTTGTCATTGGACAAAGGGACAATTCTGTGACTTCACTTTGTGATAAAAGTCCAAGCTTCATTATCACATGAAGCTCAATATCACTAAAGAATTTATTTAACTCTGTATGTGAAAATGTGAGTCGTCTTCTGTGCTCGGCATTGAAAAGAGTATCAAACGCAAACTTTGACAATTTAGATATTAATCCGCTGTAAGGAACAATTACATCATTGTTCCTAAATTGAGACGGTAACGTTTGGACATGTTTTATCCATTCTTTTTTCTGTTCATTTAGGTTTTCAATACCTTCCAATTTACCAGAGCATCTATTCTTTTTCTTATAAACCCCTTGGGTAAAACCTTCACCATATCTTATCATAAATTCTACAATTCCACACATGTTTTTATAGAGTGTATCTTCAATTTTACCCTTATCAAACCATACGCATATGGTAATGATTAACAGTAATGGAATGTCCATATATCCTGGAAGTCTTTGCTGAAATGAAATATCCCTGTCTTTCATTTCTTTTGCCTCTCTAATAAACTGTTTGCAATCTTCTTCACTTGAATCATGGTCCTGTTTCTTATTGCCTTTTCTCATAACAGTATTCAGCTGTCTTATAACGTTCTTAATTAGCTGTTCTTTATTTCGGACGCCAGACATTTCAACAACTTTATCGGGATAGAATGCATTGTCGATCTTATCTATTCCAACAGTCCTGTACTTTCTACTTGTAGTCAAAACAGTACACCCATGCAAACCTTCTCGACTTGGAATTGCAACGTCGTTATCGATTTCCCATTCGTCTAAGCCATCGAGCAAAATTATGCATGATTCTGATTCATATCTGAGGATATCCTCTACAACTGTTTGGAAACGAAACTCTGTGACTATTGGGTGACGTTTTATCATATCAATGATCAGATCATGTTGAGATTCTCGCCGTAGGGCAACGTAGAATAAAATGTCAAATTGTTTCAAACAACAAATATCATCATCGCCCTCATCAATATGTGTTTCCCTGCTTCCTGTTGTTTGCTTCGCACTTGGTTCTAACGGCAACCTATCGCTACCACGATTTTTGTTACATGCATTTACCCAGGTATTTAAGAATTTTTTGCACCAAGTTGTTTTACCCATTCCAGCTTCACCGAGTAGATACACGTTCTTACATAACTTGTCATTTTTAAACAATATCTCTCTATAGAGATTGACTTGATCTAATTCGTCCACTTTTTCTTTACACGACAAATTTGTGTTAATTGAAAACTCAACAAAAACCTCATCAACTGTACCAGAAATAGCCTCTAAAACTGGAGACACTGGTATCGTGGATAAACATTTCTTGTAATGATCGCAAAGTCTTTTCTGCAGACCTAAAACATAAACGTCAAATTAAAGTAACTGACAAATAATTTAACTTATTTATACATTTTGGGCATGTCATACTTAGTTTCATATTCAAATAATACAGCTGAACAAAGAAAAATATGAAGAAAACAAGAAATATGGCATTGCCAAGAAACCAGGTTTTTAGTTATCATCATTGTAGATAGATATGTTGTAGTTGAAATACAAATACAAGCATCACAAATGTAACTATACTATGTAAATCATTAATAATGAATTTTCTATTTTTAGTAACATAAACCTTTGCCCAAAAGCCATCCCAAGTGAAGTCTTTATAAATACTTGCTTTACACCAAATATCATAAAAATTTCTTATTCCAAACTCTAGTTATTGGCCAGAAACCTATTTTCTATTTTAAGTAACAGTGACCTGACTGGAAAAAGATTTTCTAGTTTTAGCAACAATGACCTTGACCTTGAATCTACATGACCCAAAAGCAGGCGAAAACACGAATGGCACAAATCAGCCACCGTATTAAAAGGATATATTACACTAATAACAAAACAAAGGGTCATAATCAAATAAAAACTTATTCAGTCACAAAACCCCGACAATATGCATCAGGGCAATTGATGACAAAGCCTCTGTGAAAGTTTGAACAAAATCCTTTGAGAAATGTAGGAGGAATTGCGCACAAAAGAAATTGTTCACTATATATTCTATATAAGAATAAAAAGGTCATAATAAGGTAAAAAATTATCCAATTACAGAACCCCGACAATATGCATCAATGCACTCGATGACAAAACGTCTGTGAAAATTTGAACAAAATTCCGTGAGAAATGTAGGAGGAGCTGCGCACAGAAGGATTTGTTCACTAAATATTATTATAAGAAGAAACCAAAGGGCCATATTTAGGTCAAAAAGTATCCAATCACAAAACCCCAACAATATGTAACAATATGTATCAGGGCATTTGATAACAAAGCTACTGTGAACGTTTGAACAAAATCCTTTGAGAAATGTAGGAGGAGTTGTGCACAGAAGAAATTGTTCACTATATATTCTATATAAGGGAAAAAAGGCCATAATTAGGTCAAAAATTATTCAATCATAAACCCCGACACTATGTATCAGGGCACTTGATGACAAATCCTCTTTGAAAGTTCGAACAAAAACCTTTGAGAAATGTAGGAGGAATTGCGCACAGAAAAAAAATGTTCATCATATATTCTATATAAGGGAAAAAGGTCATAATTAGATCAACAATTATCTAATCACAAAACATAGACAATATGCACCAAGGCACTTAATGACAAAGCTTCTGTGAAAGTTTGAACAAAATCCCTTGAGAAATGTAGGAGAAGTTGCACACAGAAGATATTGTTTACGAACGCCCGTCCGCCCGTAAGCCCGCGGACATACCTCAATCTTATAACAAGGTTTTTCCTTCGGTTAATAACAGGTTGCATTTGTGAAATTATGCCTTTCCACTGTATCAATAAAACAACAAATAGTATAAACAGATTAAGATTTTTTTGTTTTTATACAATTGAACTTTGCCACTTTGCCTTAGTATCTACTGAATTCGGGGGTCAAGGCATAACAGCAAATAATTGATTTGAAATAAAATATATATATTTAACATATGCAACATTTAGTTTGATTAACATTTGTGAAATATAATGTTTGAAGTTACTTTTACTGTTTTCATGAAGTTTAAACCATTCAAATACAAGTTAAGTCAGTACTTCGAAATTTAAAAAATAAATCATTAATTACTGGATTATTGTAAATTTGTTGGGTATAAATACTTTTTTTTGATAAAGCAAGGTCATTTAAAGGTATTGTTTTTTGTTATCATGTATTCATCATTCCAATGTGTCGTCTGCTGAAAATCTCCCTCCCTTAAATATATAATCGTCTGCTGCAATTATCTCTCGCTGAAATAAACACCACCACGTGCTTTTGTTTACTTATGAAGGCTGATGACCTGTTATGATCACATGGCTCCTTCCGGGGAAATTCAAATTTCAAATTTGACAGCCAGTATTTTTTCCAGAAACAAACTTAACAAAGTTGTATTTTGCAGAATTTTGGTCAATCTTTATCAAGAATATTTATGCCTAAATACATGCCAAGTGTAGATTTTAATGCATTTGGTAATTAATCTTAAAACTTTGATAAAGGATCCCTGAAGTGAAGCATTCATGAAATTAATAAGAAACATGCTGGATGGGCCTTTAAGTTCGCTATATAATCTGAACACACACACGCGCGCGCACGCTGCGGTGGCATAAAACACTTTTTTCCAAAGAAATCTGGTAAGTTGGATCAGAAAACTTTATATAATTTAAAATTATGCTTTGGAACAATTTTCAAACATCAAAGAGTATGTCAAATATGTACTGCAAATATTTATATATATCCACATTATATGTAATCATTAAAATATATGCATTCATTTCTTATTGAAAATTTTGACTTAGATTTTAGGATAAAATTAAATTTCTAATAACCTCTCTTTAAATTTAATGTAAATTGCGGTAATATCTTTACATAAAATGCTTTTTATATCTTATAATATTGATAAATCATAATTTGAGCATTATATTTATGATATAAAACCATAAAAATGTGATATTTTAAGATTTGTTACCTTCTTTATTCTGCGTGTACTCGTATCTTTTTCGAAGTTTTGCTGATGCATCATCTAACATTGACCTCTCGTTTTCTTTATCCTGTGAAATTAACGTAAAGTATGTATCAATGATTCGTTAGGACTTTCGGTTTTCGTAATTATGTCACATATATGTGAAAAGCTGAAAGTTACATGACAAAAACTTCATGAAACACGAATCATAATTGCGGATTCGAATCCACATTGAAATTGTGATACTGTATTAATTACGCAATCGCGTTACGTGTTTCTTCGGATGGAATTCTTTAAACATGTAAATGTCCAGAAGTCAGCTTTAGTTCCAATAAATATGTTTGTCTCAGCACAGCCGAGCGAATGAACTTGAACCTACTAGGTCAGTAGCTGAAAATGTTTTAAGAGTGTTTAAATCTTAACACAGTGCATATACATGTATATGATGAGCCAGAAAATCGTAAAACATAAGACTTACTAATTTAACAACCAAATGAGTGTCAATGGTTTGGTTGAGTTCTGATATTTTATTCTCTATGGCCGTTTGGTTTGCTTCATATCCTCCAAATCGAGAGTCTAGAGTTTTCACATAAGCAAGCAGGTTTGCCAGCGATGATACTGATTCCTTCTGTTTACAATCCAAGTCCTTGCAGTTACTGTCTACCATTTCACAATGTTTCTTTAATTCAGCTCTTATTTGTGCTAAGTCTGCCTCTGTTGTTTTCTGTTTATCTACAATATCATTTACTTTTGCTTCACAATGTTCCTTTAGACATGACAACTGATCTAGCACCTCTTGTTTGCTTTTCTGAATTTTTTCCTGAAAAGCTTCCTGATTCCTTAAATTTAATTCTTTCATTATTTCCTCTTGAACATCTATTTCGTCTCTTGTAGATACACCTATGTTGCCATCTCTTATCTGAAAACAATTAAAAATGTATGTAATATTCTATTTGATTGAAAAGGTTCTAACTTGCATATAATTTCAATGCTATAGTTATTGATTGATTTTTTTCTATTTTATATTCTTTCTTTTATTTTTTAAAGGACTCTGGGTTTTTATAGGTAACAATATATATTGTTTGAAACTACCAAAAAAAAAACAAGACCTTGGTAATAAAATATATAAGCCACTTATAAAACCACCTTGCAATTATAACCACTTTGGTCCAGTCCCGTTGTTGCTCTAAATAAGCGGTTTTTATTGTAATAGCTATTTGCAAATGTCAGGTCATTTGCTCATTCATATTTTTAGAATTATCTTTTTTATAGTGCAACAATAAGTGAAAAGCATTGAACTGTCAGGATCTCCTTTAAATTCGTCTTCATATTAATCATTAATTACCTGAAGAATATTTTCCCTCGATTGTTGGACCTTTCCTTCAGTGTCTATAATTCCGGGTAAGGTAAGCAGATTCATCATATTATCAGTCATGCTTTTAAGCTTGTCATCGGAAAGTTCCAGGTTTGGTGAATGGAAAAGGTAATTTCTGTCATCTCGTGCCTAAAATTACATATACTTAAAATATGCTACATGCAAATCAAATACATGTACTTCGTAAATCAAGACATATCTACAATAAATTTGAGTCGGCCATTACTCTTTATAGTTGTTTGTCTTAAATTTCTTTGAAAGATTGAGGTTACTACATCTGTAGTCTGAGGCCTATATGGATCTAGATTGCGCTATATTTGCTAAGCCAAATCCGAGGACCTAAACGTTGCTTCAACAGTGTCATTTCTTTTCCGGTATGTCGACAATTTTTACAAATAATGCCATGAATATTTTGTTTAACAATAACATGTGCACGATTCGTTAGAAAGGTTCCGCGTGTCTAACGAAATAGACGAAAACGGAATTTGTAAAAACACGCCTGAAACGGCAAATTTAAAAATGTTGAAAGCTCTGTTGAACAAAACATTTTACCACAGCACAATTTTCAATTCTATTAGTTTATGGGTTGAGTAGAGTCAGGCGACATATTTCTGAAATATCTTTGTTGCTTAATGGTCAACTATGGATAGGGCACGTACCATATACTATTGCATATTCCAAATGTCTATGATATGCTCTTAACACAATGTCAAACACTTCAGCTCTTTATTATGGAACGCCTGGACTGTCTTATGTGTAGAATGACTGATATACATGGTTAAATGTGATTCTGTTGAGTCCGAGATACCTTATGCTGGGTCAAAATCCCAATATACTGGGTGGAAATCCAAATGCGCTCAGTTATTGAAGTGTAATGTTGTGTGCTGACTGTATTTTATTCAGTCAAGTCAATGTCTTGTCGGGTGCATAAGTCGTTATGTTCAGTTCTTAAAACAAACAGGCATGTGGTAACACAATTATGTTGAGTTAAAAAGATATGTTGTAGGGTATGACAGTTGTTATGTTCGGTTGAAATAGCTCTTCTCATCATGTTCAACCATGAAAATAAACTGTTAAGTGGTACTATCATTTCGTTTGGCTGAGGCAGTGTATTATTGGGTGATCCTTTTATCATTTTCAGTTGAAATGACATGCTGTTGGGTGCTTTATTCAGACTGTTCAGTCGTAAAATAGAACTGTTGAATAGTACTATCATTATGTTCAGTTCAGATGATGTACTGTTCGGTGCAGAGGTCATTCTGTTAAGTAGTGAACACAAAATGTTGTGTGATACCGTTATTATGTTCAGTTCAGATGATATACTGTTCGGTGCAGAAGTCATTATGTTCAGTTCAGATGATGTACTGTTCGGTGCAGAGGTCATTATGTTCAGTTCAGATAATATACTGTTCGGTGCAGAAGTCATTATGTTCAGTAGTGAACACAAAATGTTGTGTGATACCGTTATTATGTTCAGTTCAGATGATATACTGTTCGGTGCAGAAGTCATTATGTTCAGTTCAGATGATGTACTGTTCGGTGCAGAGGTCATTATGTTCAGTTCAGATGATATACTGTTCACTGCAGAAGTCATTATGTTCAGTTCAGATGATATACTGTTCAGTGCAGAAGTCATTATGTTCAGTTCAGATAATTTACTGTTCGGTGCAGAAGTCATTATGTTCAGTAGTGAACACAAACTGTTGTGTGATACCGTCATTATGTTCAGTTCAGATGATATCCTGTTTGGTGCAGAGGTCATTATGGTCAGTAGTGAACACAAACTGTCGTGTGATACCGTCATTGTGTTCAGTTCAGATGATATTCTGTTCGGTGCAGAAGTCATTATGGTCAGTAGTGAACACAAACTGTGGTGTGATACCGTCATTATGTTCAGTTCAGATGATATTCTGTTCGGTGCAGAAGTCATTATGGTCAGTAGTGAACACAAACTGTGGTGTGATACCGTCATTATGTTCAGTTCAGATGATATCCTGTTTGGTGCAGAGGTCATTATGTTCAGTAGTGAACACAAACTGTGGTGTGATACCGTCATTATGTTCAGTTCAGATGATATTCTGTTCGGTGCAGAAGTCATTATGTTCAGTAGTGAACACAAACTGTGGTGTGATACCGTCATTATGTTCAGTTCAGATGATATACTGTTCGGTGCACAAGTCATTTGACAATGCGCTGAGTGGTCATACAATTATGTTGGGTTCATTCGGATTTCTTCGCGTCAAACAAGATGGCGGGCGGGAGCAACTAATTTCCATAGGTCACGTCGAGGCTAATGACCACTAAATTGCCAAAACAATTACCTATTTGAGTCACACATGGCCACAGTATAAAGAACGTTAAATATAAGTATGTAAGTGAAACCTAATTGAGTCACATATGGCCACAATATAATAGACATAATGTTTAAGTCAGGGAAATGTATTTGAGTCTAATTTTATTAGGCTACCCTTACTTATATATAATGTTCCATATACTTTAGTTATGCGTGACTCAAAAAGGTTTCCCTTACTTAAACATAATGTTCCATATATTTTGGCCTAGTGTGACTCAATTAGGTTTCCCTTACTTATATAGAATGTTCTTCATAATGTGGGTATGTGTGACTTTATTGCGCTACCTTTACTTATATCTAATGTTCCATATACTGTGGCCATGTGTGACTCAAATAGGTTTCCCTTACTTAAATATTATGTTCCATTTATTGTGGTTATGTGTGACTCAAATGGGTTACCAACAAATACATTTTAAGTCGTATATGCTGTGGCCATATGTGACTTTAATAGGCTACCCTTACTTATATGCTCCATATACTGTGGCCATGTGTGACTCAAATAGGGTTCCCTTACTTGAATATGATGTTTTATATTTTAAATTTCGTTTGCTGTGTCCATTTGTGACTCTTATAGGTTACCAAACAGATAAATTTTAAGTTTTATTTACGGTGGTCACGTGTGACTTTAACAGGCTACCCTTACCCATATTTTAAGTTTTATATATACTGTACCCATTATGACTGTAACAGTATAGTATAGTCATGAATTAACTAATAAATACCCATAGGGTATTTAAAAGTCCAATTTATGAAAATAACGTTCTTAAGCCCCCCGATAATATTTATAGGGAAGAAAATTGTTTTGGCAATTTAGTGGTCATTAGCCTCGACGTGACCTCTCCCATCTTGTTGCCCGAAAATATCCGAATGAACCCAACATAATGGTTGTATCACACAACAGTTTGTGTTCACTATTGAACATAATGACCTCTGCACCGGACAGTATATCATCTGAACTGAACATAATGATAGTACCAAAAAACCACTGAACATAACGACCTTTGCACCGAACAACACATTGACTTGACTGAAGAAGATATAATCAGCACACAAGATAATGATAGTACCATTTAAGATAATGATTGTACCATTTAACAGTTCTATTTCACGACTGAACAGAAGGAATAAAGCACCCAACAGCATGTCATTGCAACTGAAAATAATAGAAGCATCACCCAATAATACACTGCCTCAACCAAACAAAATGATAGTACCACTCAACTGAATATTTTCATGGTTGAACATGATGAGAAGAGCACCAAACAGCATATTATTATAACCGAACATAATAACTGTAACACCCTACAACATATCTTTTTAACTCAACATAATTGTGTTTCCACATGCCTGTTTGTTTTAAGAACTGAACATAACGACTTATGCACCCGACAATACATTGACTTGACTGAATAAAATACAGTCAGCACACAACATAGCACTTCAATAACTGAGCACATTAGGATTTCCACCCAGCATTTTGTATCTCGGACTCAACAGAAAGACATTTAACTAGGTATATCATTCAATCTTAACATAAGACAGTCCAGGCGTTCCATACTTTATAGGTTCAATTTGTGTCTATCTAATGAATAATGCATATTATGCCGTAAGAAATGAACCAATTAAATAACCTACGCTGTTTTCTTTCAAGAAAAAAACTAGATATCCAAGGGCAACATGTCGGATCCATTGTCAAATATGACCTTGAGTTATGACCTTGAGCTTTGACCCGGTTAAACGGTGCATGCGCGCGAACATGTCGTCTTATGATGATGGACATTTGTGCAAGGTTGTTTGAAATTCAAACAGCTAGTGAAATGGTTATGGTGCAAAGCTGATTGACACCATTTTTAGCATTTGACCTTAAAGCATGACCTTGACCTTTGACCTAGCTATACGATTTTATTTTTGTGCGCGACACGTCATCTCATGATGTTCAACATTTGTGCCAGGTTATTTAAAATTCGACCAGCTAGTGATAAAGATTTGTCGCGGACCATATTTTGGCATCTGATCTGAAAGTATAACATATTGACCTTTGACCTAGCCACACGGATCTTGCGCATGACACGCCGTCTCATAATTGTTAAGTTATTTGAAATTCTGCATACTAATGACAAAAATACGACCCGGAAAAGCATAATCCGGAAGGTTAGTAAGACCTTGACCTTTGACATAGCCACACAATTCTTGTGCGCGACAAGCCATCTCATGATGTTAAACACTTGTGTCACGTTATTTGAAATTTCACAAGCTAGTGATATAGTTATGCTGCGGACAAGCTGTTTGAGGCTCTTTTCTTGCATTTGACCTTAAAATATGACCTTTACCTTTGACCTAGCCACACGAACTTGTGTAAGACGTGCCGTATCATAATTGTGAACATTTGTGCTAAGTTATTTGAAATTCTGCCTACTAATAACAAAGTTACAAGCCGGACAAGCATATCCTGGACGGACAGACGGACGCGCGCACGGACATACACCAAATCGCAATTGTGACAACTATGTCGAGCTCTCCGCAAATGGGCTAGACAAAAAACGGAATCAACTGCAATCACAGAATACAGTAACTGTATACTAAGACTTCTCCTACCTATTTTAACACCAATCCAAACATACATAATATCATAAATAAAACATGAAATTTTATGGAAAGCCTTGACTGTCTTATAAAACTGAACGTTGTTGTGTCACTCTTTCTTTACAATGTGCACTCCTGAATATATTATGTGGAAGCATCCTTACATGAATTCAACTGAACAATGTATGATGTCAATGTGTCTTTATATGATGTCAACCTATCATTATATGATGTTCATTTATGATTATATTATGTGGGTGCATCAATATATGGTTTAAACTTATCAATATATTATGTCAATCTTTCATTACACGATACGAATCTATTTTATACGATGTGCTTTAATGAATTTATTATGTGGTAGCATTATTAGATAGTGACCACTTATCAATATATTATGTCAATCTTTGATTATACGATCTGAAAATATTATTAAATGATGTGCATTTATGAATATATTATGTGGTAGCATCATTATACATGTATAATGTCAACTTATCAATATATATTTTGTCAATCTTTCATTACACGATGTGAATCTATTATTATACCATGTGCATTTATGAATATATTATGCGGAAACATAATTATATAGTGTCAACTTAATAATATATTATGTCAATCTTTCATTATGCGATGTGCATATATGAATATATTACGTGGATCCATCTTTATATGGAGTCAGAATAGATCAAATAAGGACATAAAGACATCATATATTATTCAGTTGACTCTATATAAGGATAATTACACATAATACATTGATATTTCAACACTATATAAGAATTGTTCCACATAATATATTCGTAAATGCACATCGTATACATATAAATTGACAACATATAACGACCGATTGACATAATATATCGTTATTTTGACTTTATGTAATGATGGTTCGACAAAGTATATTTATAAATGCACATCGTATCATGAAAAATTGACATCATATAGTGACATATTGACATCATATATTGTTAAGTTGACTCTATGTAAAGACGACTCTACATAATATAGTGTAAATGTGACTCTATATAAGAATGAATCCACATAATATATTCGTAATTGCACATCATATGATGAAAAACTGATATTATATAAGGACAGACTGACATTATATACGTATATGATGTTATTATGACTCTATATAATGATGGTTCCACAAAATATATTCATTAATGTACATTGTAAAATGAAAGATTGGCATACTATAAGAACACATTAACATCATGTAAGTTGAATAAGAATGATTCCGCATAGTATACTGGTATTTTGACCTTATATAAGGATGGTTTCTCATAATATACTGAAAGTGCAAATCGTATATTGATATGTTGACATAATATAAGGAGACATTGACATCATATATTGTTGACTCTATACAAGAATTATTCCACATAATATATTCATAACTTCACATCATATAATGCCAGACTGACATCATAAGGGCAAATTGACCTAATTATAGGCTAATATATTGTTATTTTGACCTTATATAAGGATGGTTGCACATAATTTATTCCAAAATATGCACATCGTATAGTGATAGTTTGACATCATATAAAGACACATGGACATCATATATTGTTCAGCTGAATGTATGCAATTTTATGCTCCCACACAATATATTCACGAGTGCACATTGTATAAAGAAAGGCTGACTCAATAAGTTGCTATTTGGCTATTTTATAAGGCTTTTGCATAATCTTTGTGCTCGGTATTACAGATTGCCGATACATCCATTTGTAAAACCAGTGTAGCGTTGAAAATATCAATTATTACAAATGTGTTTTAAAGGTTGAATGAAAAATATGTAAACAGTATATGATCGTAGAATATAAAAAGAATCATTTCAAGGTCACTGTTGCTTTTTATCTGATCTGTTTTTTGCATATTGTATGTCATGTCAATGGTAGGTAACGTATACTTAAATCTTAAAAATCTTCTCTTTTTTATTTCATTATCTTTTTTATTTTATTCTTGGTCACAATACACAATTGCATAGAATTCCATAACATATGATGTTTGCCTTTTTGTAGAAGTAACACGACGACAATTCTTTAAAGCAGAATCCTTTTTGTTTTATAAACAAAACATTTGACCGATTTTATATATATAAAAGAATGAAATTTAAATCTAAAATAAATATAATGTACAAAATAAAACCCGGAAGTGAAGCGATCAACATAACCGATTCAAACTGGTACATATTTTTTTCCAAATAATCTAAAATGATTAGAAACAAAGACACATGGGGTATCTATTGGTGGATTGTACTTGTTACCCTTAGCCTAACCGAGATGGCCCTTTAAAACTAAATAAAATAAGGTTGAAATATATTTTTTCCAAACTAGATCAAATAATTTTTATAACAGTTTATACAGTTTATTTTGGCTAAATCGGCATGAGAAAATGCCTTTGGCCATTTACAATAACATTCATGATGGCCAAGACAACAGAAATATATACAATATACATGTAAATATAACATACAAAAACATATATACATCAAACGATTATTTTAACAATATTTCTATAACTTGAAAATACTTTAAACAGATATTTTAAGGAGCAGCCATATTTGCAAGAAATTCTGCTCTTAATATAACAACTGCTTTGAATTATTATTGTATGCAGGCACACAGGCATTAGTATCGGACCTGGGAAGAAAAAATATGACCAGATTGATAAAAAAAAAAAACCTGTGTTCATCTTAAAAGTGTCACAAAAAAAAGCGTAAATAATGACCCCCTTTAAAAATATACTATAGTTAACTTAAAGTATATATTTTTAAAGGGGGTCATTATTTACAATTTTTTTTTTTTTTTGGTTTTTGACACTTTTAAGATGAACACAGGTTTTTTATCAATCTGGTCATATTTTTTCTTCCCAGGCCCGATACTAGTGCCTGTGTGCGTGTGGTGTAAAGATATAATATTATAATGAACATGTAATTTATTTAGTTTAAAAATCGTATACTGTGTTAAAAACAGTGTTTGGGCCTCAAATCTGATATTCTAACACTATCGGAATTTTTTCTATATAGACAAAGAAGGCCGGAAGCGTGCATTATTCTACAACAATGCACTCGCCGTTCTTATTATCTCCCTGTGTATTTTCACATTGAAGGCGCCATTTTGTTTAAAAAATCTGATAAATTAAAACATTTTTTTTCGAATTTTGTTGTGAAAACTATCTAGAATGAAAGAAAATGGTCTAACTAAGAAAATTAATCCGAACACCAATATCTTTAATTCAGTCGTTAAAGCTGTACAGACGTTTAAAGTGTTGTTTACGTGACGTCACAATGTAGCGCCAAACAGCACGTGCAAAACAATCAAATCAAGTTCGCTATTTAATGTCGCAAACGAGTTTAGTTTTACATTTATTTCACTTTTAATAATTTGTATTTCGCTTGGAAAATTATAAACTGAAATAAATAAACAAACAAAGTTGTATCAACGTTTTCAAAATTCGTTATTTTCAAAATGTTTCTACAAACGGTAGATTTAACAGTTTTTTTTCAACCCACTGGAACGGCCTCTAAAGAACGTTTCTATTGGAAACTCTGAGGCGAAAACAAATTCAACCACCAAACATAAAGTCCAACGTTATAATAAAAATTATATTTTTTCTTGACGTATTAGAATGGAAATAGATATCAATTCTTCGTGCATTATTGTATAATAATGCACGTTTTTCGTTCAAATGCTTTGTAATTAATCACTCAGGCCTATCGGCCTTCGTGATTATATTACTACGCATTTGAACTCAAACCGTGCATTATTCTACAACAATGCACTCAGAATTGATATCTATTTCCTAAATATCCCACATCTGTGGTGCGTAATCTCGTCAAACGTAGTCAAGCGAAACACGAATTAAAAATTCAATTCACTATCGATTTTCTGTCTTTTCATAAAACTGAAGTACCTTGAAATTTCTATCTCTAGTGATTTGCGGTCTCAAATTGCACTTTCGTTTTTTTTGTGTTTTTTTGTTTGTTTTTTTGTTTTGTTTGATTATCGCTTTTTATCCCGCAGATGATATTATGTATTTGTGCAGCAGTGTTTACAGGTATGCAAGATGTCCGTGAAGGTGGTGTGAACAATAAAAAAATGCTTATTTACCTGAATAAAAAGTGCTGACGGATCTTGAGCTGCTTTCCGAAATAAACGTTCAAATGCCCTGTTATTGATGATTATGTTTATAAGTGCACTACAGTCTACTTCCTCTATAGTATGTTTATCCATATATCCGGACGAACCAATATAGCATTTCGCTATTTCAAAATAGCTGTGTCCCCATTTTGCCAGATCCGTGTTTGACCAATTTGGTTCAGAAAACAAGTAATCATCAACTATACTGTCGTATACACTCCCACAAAATGAATTCGGACATGACATCCCATTTTTAGAATGCATGATACAAAAACATTTTGTTCTTCCTTTTGTACATTTATTGCTAACCTTCACATGGTTCGGTAAAAGCGTTTTCAAAGAGCATTTATCACATTCTGTGCAGGTAAGATTCTTTACAAAATCCTCGTGTTGATTTTTTACGATAGTATCCACTGTCTCAGCAAGTCCCTCCCTTAAATTCTTAAATCCCAAACAACCTCTAAACCATAGCTTATAATTTTGATTTTTCGTCTGCTCCTCTAGCGCCATTTTGAAAATAATTATGTTTTTCTACCAAGGCGCTATATATACATCCGGGCGTAAATTTGTTAAAGTATGTTAAACTGTACTACGGAAGTATTTGAGGGACACTTATTTTTTCACGCACTATTTGTACAGCATTTATAACTTATTACTTATCATTTATTACTTATGTTCAGGCAATTGAAGTCCGTCAAATGAATATTGTAGCAGTAGAAGTTTTGATCGTTTTAAATTGTAAACGTAGTAATCTGTTTTAGTTTCCGTGAGCAAGAAACTTTGCTCAGTTGGTTCGTTCCCGGGAGCAGATTTGAGAATTTTAGAAATTATCTGATCTATGTTGAAGAACTGTACGTTTCACCTGTAAAATCTGAAAATCATCGAAACTGGTCACCGCGTACTATAGAAATATTTTATTTAGAAACTTTGAAGCATGTTTTTTACTTATCTTTGTTTTTCATTTTAATAAAGGGTAATATTTACTTTTATTTTCAATAAATGGTCATTGATTAGAGAATGATGTATTATATTAGATATTTCATCAAGGTCATTTAATAAGTTTCAGAGCTTTTTTCGCGGTAGTTGTATTGAAACCGTGTTTAACTTACAGCTCGAATTCGCTATTCCTTTCATTATCTGTTGACATCAATATTGACAAATAGGGGTGTCGATAATTCTTGAACAAAAGTGTATTATTTCCCAAAATAATAACTCATTTTTAACCGTTCAGCTTATCAGCGGAGTGGTTGAGTGTTGGCTTACTCAGAGTAACGACCCTGGTTCGATTACTGGACAAGGCATTTTTTCTGTTCTGATATTTTTTTATATATATTTTGTTTCAAAGATCTGGATGTTAGTTCCTCATAAGTTTAGTTCATACAATACTACCGGTATTTGAGAACATTTAGTTCATTCGCTTCCGACCGGTTAAGTTAGAGTCAACCCGCACAGCCGTTATGAGAGTGATAAATGAGGATTGGAAGATATCTGAATATATAAATATACAATTGAGCCAAAATTGTAAAAAATGAAGCAAATTGAATTCAGAGTTTTTAATAGCATTAAATTGACAATACTATTCAATCTGTTCAATGACTGTTTAAATCAAATACATTCAGTTTTGTCATTCAACTGTTGTAAGTTTAACTTTAAATTGTACAAAATTCTAAATCACAGGTTTATAAGAGATTATGAAAATGTTCTTTTGAAAGTAAAAACCATACAAACACAAAAAATATTGCACAATTGCAGATTTGAACTCGGAAAAAAAACAACTTTTTCCACTACGTACGCTACTCAGTTTTACATATCCATATCCCCTTTTATTCTTCTATATTGCAATATAAATGCAAAGTGTAATAACTGAATAACTTGCACAACCCATTATTATCATAACTGTATGACCGATTAATGTAAACGTTATCGTGTTCGACTTATACATTTTTTTCTACAAATATAATGAAATTGTAAGTTAAAAAATACCGGGCCCTATCAGTTGAGTAAAAATTTATCATTGCTTGTGAAATGTAAGGACAAGAGTTGTAATATTCACTAACAACCTTAGTATTATTGTAATTGGTCCTTAATTATGATTATTACTCATTATATGCATATTGTTTTGCAGCATGATGTCGGTCTGTCGGTCCGTTCCATTTTCACCAATAAATAACTTGAAAAAGCACAAGCCCTTACCCTAAAACGTTATAGATGCATTGGACGACCCCTATTGATTTTCGGATCGCAGGGTCAAAGGTCACATAGACATTGTATGCCATATCCAAACAATAACTTGACATCCAATGGACCTTGGCCCTCAAACGTTATGGAAGCATTCGTCTTTGGCAGTAGATTGTTCATTTTTATTTTTGGGTCGAGGGCTCAAAAGTAAAGATCATATTGACCTTGTTAAAAAATAATTTCTACCTATTTTTATTCCTATTCATAAATACATACCATCAAATAACCGCTTTCTCTGTGACTTTCATAATGAAAACTTTTGACACTACTGCAGTAGGGGTTTTATTTCAACAAAAATGGTAGATATACACTAGAACATGTTTCATGCCAAATATCTAAGCTCTTACTCTTGGATTTTTAAAAGAAGAATCTATTTACATTTATATAGAAGGCGGGGCAAATTTTGACCCTAGGGCTTTTATTTGAACAAACTTGGTAAACAACCACTAGATGTTTCATGCCATATATCTAAGCTCTAGCTCTTTTGGATAGTTACAAGATTTTTTTTTAGTTTTTACTATATACATAGTATTTCAATGAAAATCAATGACCCCTGGGGCGGGGCCAATTTTGACCCTGGGTTTTTTTATTTGAACAAACTTGGCAAGCATCCACTAGCAGATGTTTCATGCCAAATATCTTAGTTCTAGCTCTTACAGTTGTTGTTTTTTTACAAGATTTTTTTTTGTAAAAAAAATCTTTCGAATGCCATGGCAACCAGAGTTCTTTATGAAATCTAATTCATTGAACAACCTTGGAAGAGCTTCATGCATTGCAAGGAACATCCCTGCAAAGTTTCAACAAATTTGGCAAAGTGCTTTAGGAGGAGAAGTTGTTTAAAGAAATTGTTGACGCACGGACGGACGCACGGACGACAGGCCATCACAAAAGATCTCCTTGAGGACATTGTACTCAGGTGAGCTAAAAAGCAATAAGTGCAAATTATGATGTTGGGTGTTGTCATTCTTATAAACTGTGTTCTTTCTGTAATTAATCCTTCAATGAAATTTCTTATTAATATAACCAAAGGGCAATAACTTGATACATGAAGTTATTTTACATATGGTTATTGCACTGCTCCTCAGTTCACCTGGAAAATTACAAGTTAATAATTCAAAAACCTTTTTGCATTATGTTCTGTACAAATGTTTAGCATGGAAAATAACAAATGGCAATAGCTCCAACATTATGAAAACGAATTATCATTTCTGCATTGCACTCTTCAGTAACAAGATCTACCCACCTATGGAACTTCAAGTTGCTATCTTGAATACTTTTCGAGACATGAATACATAAATAACTGTTAAATACATATGTATAAATATCAATACAGACAAAAAAATGTAATGATTTACACTGGTCATCCTGAAATTGCTAGATTGTGGCACAATTTAAACATTGGTCAAATTTCCTATACATGCACCAACATCACAACATAGTAATTTCTAAAATAGGGAAAAACCAACAATGACCATTTCAATCTTTATTGTCTTGAAACAAATATTCAGCATAGTAATCAAGTTGATTAGATTTCCTGGAAATACTTTATAACATAATAGATATACTATGACAAAATCATCATCAAGTATTTGATATATATCACAGAAAAACATACTATCACAGTCAATGGCTATGCTGCCTTCAATAATAAGTTATTTCAGTTTATTACCAAGGAAAACATGTATACATTAAAAAATACCTTAACATGATCTTTACATCATGCAAAACTATAATGATTTATGTATTGGGAATAGGTACTTATATATAATTGTTTCATGTAATGAGATTTACCCTTTTGTTAACACAGAAATTAATTTGTAAACATTTGTACCCATACGATTACTTTTTTTTTATACCCATCTACATGCAAACTTCAAAGTTGATTACATAAATACAAAGCTAAATCACTTTTCACCAATGCTGGGAATTACGATAATTTTAGTCTCGACCCAATGGCAGCTGACACGAATGAGGAGGCACTGAAGAGTCTTAAGTTGGTGGGAAAACAATGAAAGGAACATACAGTTAATATTGGTTATTTTTGGTAGATATCTTTACTATCAAGTTTTGGTGAACTCTTGTTAGTAATATTTGAAAAGTAGCCCAATCAAAAGGGAGAATTCCAGAAGCAGAAGACAAATGTTATAGTCAGGTAAAGTGAAGGTTTTATGTATTCCAGTTAGAAAGCAAGAAAGGGTGATGTGAATGTGTTATAAATGATGGAACTCTTTTATACAACCAACAGTCAAATTATCAGTCTCTGGTTAAACAAACATTGGTCTTTGGCATTGCTTTTCCTTCTTCAATTCAATGACTATTAAATGCTTTATATATTTGTCAAAGAAGAACTTTCTAATCTGAAAGAAGATTGTCTCTATCTATGGTTTCAACTATATCCAGCATTTAAACTTGAAGAATGCCTGCATATCAGGGTCATCAACATCTCTGCCATTGACACCAGCATAAACTTTCCTTAATGTCTCATTTTTATATTTCTCTTCTAGTATCTTCACATACTTCTCCAATGCTCCTATAATACAAAAAAAAAAGATTAAAACTTAAAAATGCATATTAACCTATCAGCAGGACAATAAGGGAAAAAATTTTTTTATCTATTCTAAATGGATCATAGATTTATCATAATTATGTAAATAATTTTGTGAATTCAATTAGAAAAATTGATATGCAATCATTTATATATACATTTGTGGATAAAATGATTTTACAGAACAGTTCTTGTTACTAGAAATAGTGATAGTTTTGTCGAATGGCAAATTGATATTATTTTCTTAACAGACTTTACCAACAGCCACTCTAGTAAAAATCAAATGTTGACATTAAGAAGTGAATTTTGACATTCATTCTTAAAGGAGTTGTTTTCTCAATCCCAATGAGAAAAGTGACAGTATTCTAAATCCACACGTTCCCAATAGTTAGTAGACACATAGACCCAAATAGAAATTTCATTGACCCTACTTATGACTTTTTTAACCGACACTGTTTAGGTTATACTGAGACTTTTCAGTTTTACTGGTGCATTATTTCAAGTACAAGCCAGCACCCAAGTAGAACCACCGACCTTTTGTAAGCTAACTGGAAAGCTTCTTTGTGAATGAAACCAAAGTCCTTAGTGGGATTCAAACCCAAGTAATTTGAAGTAAATGACCTTAACCTCTCGGCCCCTATATATTATAAAGATCAAAACTAAAATGGAATACTAGTAGCAAAATTACCTAAACCAAGAATTTTGCCATATGTAATCATGTTAGGACACAGTCTTGGGTCATCAAACTTTTCTGCTTTTATCAGTAGTCTAACAATATCACCAAATATGTAGGCATCATCAAATGATGGTTTTTCTGACACAGGGAATTTACAATACACATCAACAGCTGACAGAGGATCTGTTTTCAACAACATTTCTGCTAACTCAATATATGCATCATGAACCTGTTATAAAAATAGGAACTGCATAAGGTACTTTGTTAGATGATCTTACATGAAAACAAACATATACATGCTCCTTCTCACCATCATGGGAAAATGTGAACATGTGATAAAAAATACAGATTAAAAACAGTGTGTAATATCAATATCTAGTCCTTTTAAATTTCAGTAAGTGTAAATTACTGACTCCAATACATTCAAGAGACTTTCACTTATTATTGATGATTATTGTATTAAGATGTTGTTTATTAAATTCATGAATAATGTACATTTGTGAGTTTTGAAACTGGACTATCAAAGAACTGTCTCAAAAGCCAATGACATATTGCATTAAGTTACTAAAAGCAATTTAATAATTAATCATCAATTTATCAAGTTGCATCACAAAATATGTTTCATATTGCACTGAGATCATGATTTCTTTTCAGACTTTAGTATAATCCACTCTAAAGTTGAAATGTAGTTGGATGAAAATGTTACCTTCAAATCGCATTAAGTAAATTGTGAACATGGTGTAATAACACTACAATATTTAAATTATAAGGAGATACCTAAATGACACTGCATTCTAAACAAACTGAAGGGATAGTGTGCATAATTACGTTCTGTGTTTCTGTAATATTATAAGTATTACAGCATATTTCACTTAATTTTAACCCCCACTCTGCTCCCCATAAAAAAAATACAACACTTTTCAAAATAACACACAATAATATACATGTTATATTTTTCTGGTCCTTTGGGATTATTGAGAACCGCTAAAGGCGATGCTAGAGGCTGTGAGGTATGTTGTACTTTTTTCATTATTCCTCATGTACACAATCAAACTGAGTCTGCAGATTTCATGTAATTTTGTCGTGTTTACTGTTCCTGAGGGATCATCCTTTTTTACAGATTTATTTTGGTGTATGCGGTACTGAGAAAAAGAAATGAAATGGTGAAGGACAATGTCATGGTAAAGGCAACACAACCAAGTAAACACCATGGATCTTGTACCTCAACACAGGCAATAATAAATAGTATATATGCCTCACAGTGTGTCTAATGTGATTTTACATTTTATGAAGGAGATGAATGACCAACCACTATCTACAATATAAAAATATTCTTCCCATTAAAAAAAAGATGACCTGGCTGGATTTACCTCAGGTGACATTGTGATGACCTCATTGTAATATTTCTGGGAATCTGGGATCTCACCAGCAGCCCTGTATGCTCTAGCCAATCCAAGACGGGGATGGTATGACTTTCTGTTGATTGGGGCGGGGCCTGCAGATGCTGCTGGTTTAGGCGTCTCCTCTACTGGAGGCGGGGTTTCCTGTTTTGGGGCTGCAATAAATATCAAAACAAATATTGTTATTATTTTAAAGTTTTTCAACAAGTTTTTAAGGTATCATACTTCTAATATCTAGGATATTTGTAAAAGTTTGAACAATATGATTTAATTTCAATTGACAACTATTATGTTCATTGTTTTTTAAAAAAAAATAAAAAATGCTTCAATAAATTTAGTTTCAGTATTTAATTTCAGTATTTAGTTTCAGTATTTGGAAACCTACATACACATCAAAGAATCAATCTGTTCCCCATATAATATAACCTACTGTGTATATTTCTATACTTTATACGAGTCATAGAAGATAACTACCTTGTGATGACAAAAAACACTATATAGTTCATAGGGAAAAAAAGCAAAATGCAAATAAATAAATTTTAAAACACGATTATTAAGCTTAATTTCAGCAATGTTGCTTTTAAAAATTTTAAATGTAAGTAGGTTTAAAGCAAAAACAGAATTAAAGACAAAAAATCTCAAATCAGATAATTGATACTTAACATTTTAATAAAAATATTCTTACGTTCTGCTGGTGCAGGTGCTTTGGCTCCTGGCTTGGCTGCTGCTCCTCTAGCGGCTGGTGCCCCTCTTGCTGCTGGAGCCTGACACAAGAAAGTAAAGCTATGTTAAAATATGACCAACATTTAATATTACAGTTGTGAAGATTTGTTTCAATCCAGCTAGATGTTAGAGACCATGTCATAAAAGTTTTTTATTATAAAATAAACTGGTAAAACATGAACAAGAGGGCCACGATGGCCCTGAGGTCGCTCACCTGTATATAGGCCCCCCCCCCCAACGTTGCAGGGTCAATTTAACCCAAGGGCTTTTATTTGCACAAACTTGGTAGACACCCATAAGAAGATGTATCATGCTAAACATCTAAGCTCTTGCTCATTGGGCTTTTTATAAAAAGATTTTTTTTTTAAAGATTTACTATACACATAAAGTTAAAAACAAAGACACCCCTGGGGCGGGGCCAGTTTTTACCCCAGGGCTTTTATTTGAACAAACTTTGTAGACACTCATTAGAACATGTTTCGTGCTAAATATCTTAGCTTTAGCTCTTTGGGTTCTTTAAAAGAAGATTTTTTAAGTTTTTACTATATGCATATAGGGAAAATGAATGACCCCCCCGGGGCGGGGCCAGTTTTTACCCCAGCGCTTTTATTTGAACAAACTTTGTAGACACTTACTAGAAGATGTTTCATGCTTAATATCTAAACTCTAGCTATTTGGGTTTTTTCAAAGAAGATTTTAAGTTTTTTGCTATACACATATAAAGAAAATCAATGACCCAATTTTGACCCCAGGTCTTTTATTTGAACAAACTTTGTAGACACTCACTAAAAGATGTTTCATGCTTAATATCTTAACTCTAGCTATTTGGGTTTTTTCAAAGAATATTTTTTAAGTTTTTGCTATATACACATGTAACAAAAATCAATGACCCCCGGGGCGGGGCCAATTTTGACCCCAGGGCTTTTATTTGTACAAACTTGGTAGACACCTATTAGAATATGTTTGATGCTAAATATCTAAGACATAGCTCTTTGAGCTCTTTAAAAGAAGATTTTTTAAGTTTTTACTATGTGCATATTGGGAAAATCAATGACCCCGGGGCGGGGCCAATTTTGACCCCAGGGCTTTATTTGAACAAACTTGGTAAACACTTATTAGAACATGTTTCATGCTAAATATCTTAGCTCTAACTCTTTTGGTTCTTTAAAAGAATATTTTTTAAGTTTTTACTATATGCATATAGGAAAAATCAATGACCCCCTTGGGCGGGACCAATTTTGACCCCAGGGCTTTTATTTGAACAAACTTGGTAGACACCTATTAGAACATGTTTGATGCTCAATATCTTAGCGATAGTCTTTGAGTTCTTTAAAAGAAGATTTTTTAAATTTTTACAATATGCATATGGGGAAATCAATGACCCCCGGGGCGGGACCAATTTTGACCCCAGGGCTTTTATTTGAACAAACTTAGTAGACACCTATTAGAACATGTTTGATGCTCAATATCTTAGCTATTGTCTTTGAGTTCTTTAAAAGAAGATTTTTAAGTTTTTACAATATGCATATGGGGAAAATCAATGACCCCCCGGGGCGGGGCCAATTTTGACCCCCGGGCTTTTATTTGAAAAGACTTGATAGACACTCATTAGAACATGTTTCGTGCTAAATATCTTAGCTCTAGCTCTTTGGGTTCTTTAAAAGAAGATTTTTTAAGTTTTTACTATATGCATATAAGGAAAATCAATGCCCCCCTGGGGCGGGGCCAATTTTGACCCTAGGGCTTTTATTTGAACAAACTTGGTAGACACTCACTAGAAGATGTTTCATGCCAAATATCTTAGCCCTAGCTCTTATGCTTTTTTAAAAGAAGATATTTAAAGTTTTTTATTTCTGTTGTCATGGCAACCAGAGTTCTGCATGGAATTAAATTCTTTGAACAAATTTTAAAGGTGATGAAATTGGCTTAGTGGTTTATAAGGAATTTAAAGTAAAAGTTTACAGACTGACGGCCGGACGCCGGACGAAAAGCGATCATAAAAGCTCACCTGTCACCAAACAGACATAACATTGACTGCTACTTTATAGGTAAAATGTTAAATACCAGTGTGAAATATAAAACAAGTTTTAAACCTGACTGATCAACAGGTCAAAACACACCTTATCAGCTTATGAGTGTCCTAATTACAATTGTTTACTATTGTTGACTGACACATTGAACAAGCATTATAGCAGAAATGGTGTGTTATCAATAAACATGAATAAAAAATTATGATCAGTGAAAAAATACAACTTTTTTGGGGGATCCAAGGCCTATTTAGCGTTTTACTGAGGTAAGCCCTATACTGGGGCACGTCATAACAGGGTGGCAGTGTAAATGTACTATGCAAAAGAAAAAAGAATCAAACACCAGTTGTATTGATAGAAGAGAACATCTAGCTCTCGATAACTTAGTGAAACTTTGCAAAGTTTGTCAACGCCAATCAACATCTTTAATTTCTAAATGTTTACCTTAGCCGGTGCTCCTCGTGCTGCTGGCGCTGCCTTTGCGCCTCTTGCTGCTGGGGCCCCTGAAAAATGATAGATTTAAAATTCAAGTATCCATTCATCTATGCTTTAAAAATGCATTGCCTTCAAGCAGGAATTCCTTTTTATAAAAAAAAAAATAATATACATTTATATATAAAAATAAGAAACATCTTTGCTTCATTGGAGGATTTTGGTACATGCAAAAAAAAAACATGTCCACAAAGTAGTTTTAATATAAACACACCCTAAACAGAAATCAAAGTACCATACATATAGATACATCATTAGGATAATTGCCACCAAGGGCATATTTGACCCCTGTTTTTTTATGTAAATAAAATAAGTAAAAGTAATGAAATTATAAAATGACAAAAAGAAAATGCAAATAATGATAATATTTTCATGTATGAATGTGAGTGTGTATGTAATCTATGATATTGTTTAATGATAAATGCTTTATTTTCAGATTTAATGTAATGTTTTGAAATCATAATCATATTGTTAATTAACTTACTGTTTAGGTGTAAAAAGCCATACGGCATATTTTTAGTAAAGTTTATCTTAATACTTAAATATCACTTATGTCAGTCTTTTTACTTTTAGAAATCTTTTACTCTTATCTACACCTTTTGGTTTAGGTGCTATTCATTTATAATACTTTGTAGCTTTTAGCAATTAATGCTATAAGGAAATTATGTAACATACAGGATATGTTTTTTACCTTTTTTCATAAGATAATTTTTATCCAGATTAAGCATCATGTAATACTTTTCTATTTTTCATTGGTTAATGTTTTTATTATTTTTAATTGGTCAATATTTTTCAATTTGCATAGGTTAATCAATTAATTATTAAAATTAATAATACCTGAGAATAATATATATAGGGAGACAAAAATAAGTTAAGACAGAATTTAGTATTAGGAATTAAGAATCTTTAGGGTGATGGAATTGAGAATTAGAACTTTTAAGAATTAAATATTAAGAATTGGAACTTTGAAGAATAAAGAATTGGAATTTTTAAGAATTGTTAGGAACAGACTAGGAATCAGAATTAATGTAAAAGTGTGTTAAAAGACTATCTTGGAAACATTTTGATAAGAGGCATTGTAGACTTAATTTATTTTAATGAAAGTGAGCTTTTAGAAACTTTGTATGGAATTTAATATTATTAAACTGTGAAATAAAGAAAATCAATAAATTGAATAAGTTATTAGGAACATTTGAGTTCATCTTCATTTCATCAAAGTTATCTGCTATCACACTCTACATACTGATAGTAGAGTAAACTATGTGACCGACTGCTTGGGGTGGACACTTTATATTCTGTATCGGGACTCAGCTTAGACCTCGGCTAATTCCCCACAGCTTAAACAACCGGTACCGCATAGCTCTACCGGAGGTCTAGGTTCCTGTACAGTGTTGCTGTTATCAGTGGAGAAGTTGTGACGTGCAGAAAGGGCAGCCGCAACCAAGGGCATATTAGACCCCTGTTTTTTTATGTAAATAAAATAAGTAAAAGTAATGAAATTATAAAATTACAAAAAGAAAATGCAAATAATGATAATATTTTCATGTATGAATGTGAGTGTGTATGTAATCTATGATAATGTTTTATGATAAATGCTTTATTTTCAGATTTAATGTAATGTTTTGAAATCATATAATCATATTGTTAATTAACTTACTGTTTAGGTGTAAAAAGCTATACGGCATATTTTTAGTAAAGCTTATCTTAATACTTAAATATCACTTACATTGTATGTCAGTCTTTTTGACACTTAAGAAGATTATTTTACTTTTAGAAATCTTTTACTCTTATCAACACCTTTTGGTTTAGGTGCTATTTATTTATAATACTTTGTAGCTTTTAGCAATTAATGCTATTAGGAAATTATGTAACATACAGGATATGTTTTATACCCTTTTTCATAAGATAATTTTTATCCAGATTAAGCATCATGTAATACTTTTCTATTTTTCATTGGTTAATGTTTTTTTTATTATTTTTCATTGGTCAATATTTTTCAATTTTCATTGGTTAACCAATTAATTATTTAAATTAATAATACCTGAGAATATTATATATAGGGAGACAAAAATAAGTTAAGACAGATTTAGGTATTAAGAATTAGAATTAAGAATTGAGAATTAAATATTAAGAATTGGAACTTTGAAGAATAAAGAATTGGAATTTTTAAGAATTGTTAGGAACAGACTAGGAATCAGAATTAATGTAAAAGTGTGTTAAAAGTATCTTGGAAACCCTTTTGATAAGAAACATTGTGGACTTAATATATTTTAATGAAAGTGAACTTTAAGAAACTTTGTATGGAATATAATATTATTAAACTGTGAAATAAAGAAACTCAATAAATTGAATAAGTAATTAGGAATATTTGAGTTCATCTTCATTTCATCAAAGTTATCTGCTATCACACTCTACATACTGATAGTAAACTATGTGACCGACTGCTTGGGGTGGACACTTTATATTCTGTATCGGGACTCAGCTTAGACCTCGGCTAATTCCCCACAGCTTAAACAACCGGTACCGCATAGCTCTACCGGAGGTCTAGGTTCCTGTACAGTGTTGCTGTTATCAGTGGAGAAGTTGTGACGTGCAGAAAGGACCGCCGCAACCCCAGCACCAACTGTAGCAGCAGCCAGCCCCAGCCCCTAGGCAGCCCCCCGTCACATAATCTTAAAAAAAAACTAACCTCTTGCTGCAGGTGCAGGAGCACCTCTCCCCCGGGCAGCTGGGGCACCTCTAGCTGCAGCTGCACCTCCTCTGGCCGCAGGAGCTCCAGCTTTACCTGCTGGTGCCTTAGCAGGAGCATTTTTGGCCTCCTCAGCTTTCTTCTTCTCTTCTTCCATCCGAACTTTCTCCTGCCACCATTGCTGATCTATGATAAAACAAATCATATTTTGACAAACAGGCTTCATAAATAGCTGGTATTTTTACAAAAACAACAACAAAAACCTGTGTAAATTAAAAAGTTCTGGCAATGAACTAACTTAGGATTACAGCTGTTTAGGACTCCGACAGACTGTTTATATTTAAATAAACATCTGTATTTTTTAAAACATTATAAACTGATAAAACTAAGAATTTTATAACAAGGGCTGTCCATAAGACATCGAGCTTGACTACTCTCAATGCTTGACAATACAGAAAAGGGGCATATCTCTGTGTAGAGGTAACTCAAAGTTATGGGACCTTTGCCCATCATGTGAGATAATCAAAGAGAACAAGCATGTGAAGTTTCAACCCCTGCCCTTCATTAGCTTTTGAGCTACCAACTTGCACACAAAAACTTATCCTACGTGACACTAAGTACAACAAGTACAATAGTTACCTTATTCTTTGATAAATCCAGCTAAAAATTACAATGTACTTGTGGAATTAATTTGCATGTGTTGTAAAACAAAGAGAAACCCTATCAGACTTTTCTGGTCTTACTTTTAATTGTGTCTGGAACATCCCCTGATGCTTGTTTTCCCTCTAGGTTAATAGATGTTTGGAATGATGATTTTACATCACTAAGAAGCTTGGCACCTTCATCACCTGGGGGCGTGTTCTCAAAACGAGCAAACTGTGAGGAACCCAGCAGGTAAAGTGCATGACTAGAACATGGGGTAATCTGTATCAGTTGCTGACAGGTCTGTGTAAAGAAATCAAAGTAAGTACTTTTTGAATAAACAAAAATTTAGATAACATATAATAATGCTTTATTCATCTGCTTCACTAGTTGCTAAAATATAAACAAAAGCAATACTCCTGCTAGCGGCGATTAAATCTACCAATGCAACCAGTGCAGACCAAGATCAGTCTCCATGCTGTCTGATCATGGTTTGCACTGTTTACTAATCAGTCAGTCAAAATTACAAAATTTCATTTTAAAATGATTAATAGTTTTGTCTAGCTTGAAAGATGGACAAGTTCACTCAAGAATTTTAGAATGGTAAAGGTTAAATTTAAGAAAGTTACATGCAAAGGATGTTACCATAAAATGCTAGAAGTTATCATGACTTTACTAAATACAATAAACATGATATCCAACTACCTAGCACATCTGTGTAATCTGACAAAACATAAAATTGTAGGCTGATAAAGTGAAGTTTTTTTTAAATGAAAAACCTTTTACAATGGACAAATTTCTAAATATGAAGACAGGCAAATCATCTCAATATTCAGTGCATTATTTATGGTCAGAAGAATCAATTTGAAAATATATATATCAAAGTAATGAATTGGTCTTGTTCAAATTAATTAGATCTTTTTCAGATTCTATAAGACTTAAAACTTATTTTCAACTGAATGCATTCTTTTATATAAAAATCTTACCAAGCAAATGCAACATAATATAAAATGTTAATATTCCTACACTATTGGGCCAAAAATAAAATTATGTTTGTTTCCCCTTCCCGACCCATTTAAATAAGGGTTGGGTAGGTAGGTAGGAAATTTTTTTTTTTTTTTATATGTGCATTATAAATAATCTGCATATATGTATAATGAGTTATTAAAATTAATTTATTAAGTGCAATAGTATATGTACATGCATTACCATATTCGCAACTGACATATGCAACAATTCATTAACTATGCTAGCTGTCTAAAATATCAGATTAGATTGTACCTATTGTACTCTGAATGAAAAAAATACTTTCATCCCCTAAGAACCTGAAAAAAATCTTTTGGGTAGGGGCAAATTCGTGGGTAGGTAGGGAAGGGGAAACAAATTAAATTTTATTTTATGCCTTGAAAAGGCTATTAAAATCACTTTCAAAAAGCTTCATTTAAGATTTACCTTTTCTTGTAATGCCAGTAGTTGATCATTTTGTGGTATGATTGAATGTGTAATAAGAGCTGATAATCTCTCACATCTCTGAACAATCAGCTTGGCATTGGCTGATTGATTGGCTGACAAGATCTCTAAAAGATTAGCATGTGCATCAAGAATGACCCATTCTAATTGCCTGTACATGTCACCTCGTGCAATAAATGGCAACATCTGTGTAGCTAGTAATGCTGCACTGTAAAACAAATGTAATTCTTTATTTAAAACATTTCATAACAATGTCAAAACAATTGATATCAATTATCAAAACAACTTAAGAGAGCTTTTGTGCCTTATTTCAACATCTGACAGCCCATTCATTTTTTCTCCACATAATGACAAAATGAACATTGTAAACGATTTGTGGAACAGAATAATTTTGACAAATTTATTGAAATATGTCTTTCTCAATCAACAGAAAAATTGAAGACATCTCTCAATTGCTGCTATAGAATTGTTTTTGGGTTGGGTTAAAGGTGCACCAATACTTTATGGGTAATATGGTGGCTTTCCAGCTTAACTGGTGGAGGAAGATCTCAGTAAAACCATCAACATTCCGTAAGCTAGGGTGCTATATCAATAATTAGTTCAGCTTCTAAACTTGAAATTGTCCAGTGCTTGTTAAATGGGATTGAAATATCCAAATACCAGTGTGATGTCAAACTACATGGACGTGCCGGCTGGCCAGGCTCTATTCTGGAGGCATACATCTGTTACTAAATTTTTCATTACTGTTTCATTTAATGATTAATAAGCAACAAGTAAATGTGCACAACTTTATGATAAGAAACAAATCTTTAGAATCTTAAAGGAACTCCACTGAGGTTAAAAGGCTAAAAATATAAAATTTGAATTTCCTACATAGATCAGCTGGGGCATGTAAAAAAGATAGGCAAAAGATAATAAATATACTCATAAAACAACAAAAATAGTATTTTCTGCCATTCTTTTTGCAAAATTTGAGTGAAAAGGGTTGCAACACTTCAATTTTTGATCATTTTTTACAATTTGAATAATTATTCTGTAAAATCGGAGTGAGAAAATTATTTGAAATTTTGAACACAAATTATTGGTCTAGACCTACATCAATCTTGGAAAATCATTTCCAGTCCCGTCATGTCAAAAAACCTCAGTGGAGTCTCTTTAACTGTATTATACAATGATTATATAAAAGAATATCTACAGATTTGTTTAATATAGTACAAACTTATGATATAAATCTTCAGGTGACATTGCTTCCTTGATATCTGTATTTTGTTTTAATAACCGACCAAGTTGAATAAACCCTCTCATCAGATGAACATTAGTTGGCTGCATCAGGTTTTCTGCTCGCAATATCGGGACAATATAACTGTAACACAGAAATCACACAATTTAACAAAATAAATACAGTATGTAAAACGGCTCTTTAAAGATATACTATGCTCATCATTTAGTGAAAGCATTTAATCACAGAAATTTGCTGAAATCTATATGAAATTCTTACTTAATTTGTCTAACTTGAAAAAAAGAATCAATGAACTATGTATGGGAATCTGCATTCCCCTTTACAGGTCAAGTAAAGTTGGTCTTTTCTTAAAAAAACTGTCAGTTTTTTTAATGACACTATGTATTTATATTGTGACCACCTATAGTTTGTAGAATTATAAACATAATATATCTACTTTGTATTAAGTCAAAACATGTTCATTTTATGCTTACATAGAGACTGTAGCAATTATCAATATTTTTGAATATCAAATTTGAGCAAAGTATATATTTAAGAACCAAATTTATGAAATATAAGTGACCTTAGGTCATATTTCTCAAAAAAAATAAAAATGTTTACATTACAACTGCATATCTGTAAATGGCATCTATAGGTATGCAAATTTTATTATCTACTAAATCAAACTTCACTGTTTTTATGCTTGGTTATTTAAGACATAAAAGTGATGTTCTAACATTCTGCATACTCAAACTGAAACTGCTACTCATGTATATGCTGTTAAATAATACAAGCATTCAATCCAATGCTCATTGTCTTGTCACATGCATAACCGCAGACTTGTTAAACATCATATTTTGAATTTGGCAAATTTTGAGGTAAGTTTACCTTTCAGGTTCATGACTCATGGCCTGCTTTGTCCTTTCTGTCATTAATGTTTCAAATGCTTCTAGAAGATACAGGACACCCTCCTTAACTCTAGCCCCTGGTCCATCCTTCTTCAAGGCAAGAGCTAGTCCTAAATAAAACCTGCAAAAAATTATTATATAAGCAATATTATTAACAAGCATATTTATTTCGGATTGGTATATCACTTCATATGATATAAATTATTTGATTACAGTTTCTTTGTCAAGTATCACAGAATATGAAAGGAAATTAATTTAGTGTTGTGTGCCATGTAGCAGCTAAAAACAGTTGCCCTGTACTTCACTGCAGTGTTGTTTTTCTGGTCCTTCGGGATCATTGATTCTAGCATGTTATTGATGAAATTTGAATACTGCTTAAGCCTGTGCTAGGGGGTATGAGAGATGTTGCATATTATCTCTCATGAACAGACTCAATCAAACCGTGTTGGTAATTTTCTTATAATTTTTGTTGTTTTCAGGGATTACCTTTTTTCCATATTTTTTTTACTAACAGTGGTGCTTAGCCCACAAAATTGAGCAGTGTCAGGCAAACAGCTCATACAGAAAAGAACCACCTTTTGTGACATAATGACATTAAAATATTATGACACTACATAATGACAGTACAAGTATTTTATGAGCATCATTTCTTTATCATTTAGATTATAAAGTCTCAGTTTCATTTCAATCTAACAAAACAATCATACACATGACATGAAAATGGAAATTTTCCTTAAAAATGGCTATATGCATGACTTAAATGAATTTCTATAGCATTGCCAACCTATTACACTGTGCCCCATACAACCCATTGAACCATTGAAATAGCCCATTATAAACGCCCATCTTTAGAAATATACAAATCAATTTGACAGAGAAAGAGTAAGCATACTGTGACATATATTATCTTTATATATGTATGAATATCATTTGGTCATCAGGCCATCATTTATTCTGAGTGAGCTTCATGTTATTGTTTATTCAATTGTACAAGCAACACTATATATTCTTGCATATCAGACAGGATTAGCTGATTACACTGGTTCAAGAAAAACCTGTATCGAGTAACTATTTAGCGAAAACACAGCAGAGCCTTGTCACTGCCATGAACAGTTACCCTTGAACTAGAAATTCCAGTCTGTACTGGAAGCCGGTGTAAGACCCTTACAATATATCACAGACAAAGTAAAAACCTTTATATATGTACAAACCTTGAAAGTTGATGGTTAGAATTCCAGTTTAAACTTGTTTCCAACCTTTTTACAGCATCGTCATAGTTACCCTGCACCACCAACATACGACCGACATGGAAATTAAATAAAGCCTTAGCCTCATCACAAGCTAGAGCATCCATGTATTTAAGGTAAGCTTGACCGAGGGGCGATTCCTCATCAGTTGCTTTCTGGGCAGCTGCACCTTCCTAATGTAATGATAGAATAAATGATTTGAGCAGCGTCACGACAAAACCAACATAGTGCGTTTGCGACCAGCATGGATCCAGACCAGCCTGCGCATCCGCGCAGTCTGATCAGGATCCATGCTGTTCGCTGTCAGTTTCTCTACTTGTAATAGAGTTGGTAAGTGAACAGCATGGATCCTGATCAGACTGTGCGGATGCGCAGGCTGGTCTGGATCCATGCTGTTCGCAAACCCAGTATGTTGGTTTTATTTATAAATTACTATAATCAATAAACAATACGTGACAGGACCTTGTCACTCCTTTCCAAGAATAACCTCAAACAAATAAAAGAAGAATATAATTATATTTCAATGTTCACAGACACAGTAAAATTCCTATGGTGATTTTCAAGCTTTACTGGTTGATTAAGATCTAACTACTTGTCCATACAAATTCAATGTCAATTAATAGATTATAATCCAAATCAAATTAAGGGGTATATGATTCAAAGTTACTGCTTTCCATCACTCAACCACTCCACCACTGTGTAAAGTAAATCTTATGTGAGGGGCAAGTGATGGAAAAAATTCAAGTATAATTTAAGACAGATTATAAGCTACTTGGCTTAAGTCATAATCAATTTCAACCTGAGGGAAGACAACTGGATTATAAAATTAGAAATAATCTATGTAAAACACAGTTCAGTAGCAATTAATTGCAAGAAAAATAGATATTGAAACCTTTGGTTCTAGTTGTATAAGTAAAGAAAATATTAACCTGTGATGCTTGTTTTGATTTCCATTGATACAGTTCCATAACATGATCGGCACCTGACGACTTGCCCGAGTTGATTAAACTGTGATACTCCATGTCTATAGCTTTAAGCTGCAAGGGGAGGGGTGCCGTGGGGTCTACCCCATGTAGCTTACATATAGCATTACATTCATCATCTTTAGAACTCTCTGATGCTTGCAGATTTAAAGAAGGTACATCATCATGACTCTACAAGGAAAGAGTTACAAATTTTTCAAATATTCACATTTATTTAAAGTCTCAGCATGTATAATACATAACTGAAAAAATTTAAAATCTAATATTGTGGCAATATTTAAACAACACTGAAAAAGATATAATTTCCCAAAACCAAAATCTGTAATTTTTACAAATCATTATTGTACTTTAAAAGTTATAGTCAACTCTTTACATAACATTGAGAGCTAAAGTTGTGCAGAGAAACAAACATAACAATGGTGTCTTACCAACTTACATGGTGCAAAAAGACCATCAGATGGCCCTCTCTACGCATTATTTCAGGTATGAGAAATCACCTGAGTAGAACCACTGACATTCCATAAACTAGCTAGATAGCTTTCTTAGACACATCAAAGAGACAAAAGTCCCTGGTGGGTTTTAAACTCTCACTGACAAGTGGTTTGACAAGACATACTGAAACTTTAGTCATGCCAGACATAATATAATGACAAAGTAACTTGAAGATATATTAGTGTTGCATATCTAACTTAGCCATAAAATTAACATATGTTCCCAGGCTTTTGCCAACTAGATTATACATAATACAATAATATATACGCTTAATATAAGATAAACCATTTTTTTTTCAAACAGAAGAGTAACTAAGATAAGTTGACAAAGCAAAATAAGTTATCAGCCTTTACCTCTTTCTTCAAACCAAATATATCCTCAATATAGTATTTTTCCTCTAGCAACATTCCTAGCTGTAAATGAAAGTTGGCATCTTTAGGTTTAAGTTTTACTGCAGTAGCGTAACAATGAATGGCTTGCTGCAGGTAATCCATCGGTGACTCTCCATCAGGCCATTGTCTTGTACTATCTGCAAATTATCAAAAAATTAGTTAAAATACTTATCCTGTAAGTTAAAGCAAGGAAAAGCCAAAATACATTTAAAAAAAAACAACTTAAAAGTCTTATTTTTTACTTGCTAAACCTAAATTTGGTTACTTTCCTGAAACTTTTTAATCCTGTTCTCCTACTTTTTTAATTACCTACTCTCTGTTGAGTATGTATAAAATTTTACCTTCTTTGAAATTGAAACAGTCCATCAATATGTTTAGAATTAATTAAAAACAAGAACGTGTTTGTTCAACACAAATGCCCCCGGCTCAGATTCTTGTCAGTAGCAATACTTCAAAAAATGTTTACCCATTCACTCACTTATGGACAGAAAAATCTCCAAAAAATTGTAAACACAAGTTTTATAGCTTGACAAAGTCATGGCATTTTGTAATTCACTCATGGTGAAAAATATAAGTTGCCAAGTCATTGCTCTGACTTGTGAAGTTGAAAAATATTCAACTTCATGCAAGTTATCTTCCTACCAAATATGAAATACATCTGTCATTACATAAAGGCTGTATGGGCAAAAGTGTAAAAATCTATTTTGAGCACTGGTGACCTTGACCAAACTGACCCCTAACTCTATCCAAAAGAAGAATACCATGTAAGTTATCTTCCTACCAAATATGAAATACATCTGTTAATAAATAAAGGCTGTATGTGCAAAAGTGTAAAAATCTATTTTTAGCACTTGTGACATTGACCCAACTGACCCCTTACTCCATCCAAAGGAAGAATACCATGCAAGTTATCTTCCTACCAAATATGAAATACAACTGTCAATAAATAAAAGCTGTATGGGCAAAAGTGTAAAAATCTATTTTTAGCACAAGTGACCTTGACCCACTGATCCCAACCACAATCAAAAGGATGAATACCATGCAAGTTATCTTCCTACCAAATATAAAATATATCTGTCACTTAATAAAGGCTGTATGAGCAAATGTGTAAAAATCTATTTTTAGCACTGGTGACCTTGACCCAACTGACCACTAACTCCATCAAAGTTTATGTTTCTATCAATTATAAATAACATCTGTCTATAGAATAAGGTCAATACACCTGTAAAAATGTAAAAATGTATTTTTAACATTGGTGACCTTGACATTGGTAAAATTGACCTTGACCCGAATGACCCCATACTACACCCAAAGAAGGAGGTGTTTGTATTAAACTAGGACATCATCTAAAAAATAAAAGCTGTATGAGCAAAAAGGTTTATATTTATTTTTTAAACCAGTGACCTTGACCTTGACCCTAGAGACCGCTTACTCCAAAAAAAATTAGAGAACCATCAAAGGTATCCACCTACTAAATATAAAAGATATCAGTAAAGAAATTAAGCAATTAGGAGAAATTTAAGATAAATCCAACTTGCTGAAATAGGTTAACCAGACAAGGCCCTATTTTCAAAGTGAAAAAAGGGAAATAACTGGGAAATATGGATGACACAGTTATATAACTTGGCAATATCATGTGCTTTGTATTGATAAGTAAGTGTGCTAATTATAAAGCCATTAGTATAGATAGAACTTAAGATATTTCCAACTTGCCGTTTTAGGTTAACCATTATTCATTTTCTAAGTGCTGAAAAGGGCAATAACTTGGTAAATATGAAAGCCAGAGTTATGAAACTTGCCCAGATCAAGTACTTTGTATTGATTAGTAAGTGTGTAAACTTAGAAGCCATTGGTACAGGTAGAACTTAAGAAAAATCCAACTTGCCGTTCTAGGTTAACCTCATACGGACAGATGGACCGACAGACGGACGGTTCAATTACTATATGCCCGGGGGCATAAAAACTAGACAACTTCTTATATTCTCACACTTTTTTGGTTGTTACATTCTTACTTGTAGGTCTATCTTAAGGACTTTCAATAATATTTGTTTTTACACAATAAAGAACAAAAGTATTTCAGATAAATTCTTTTATCTATAAAATTAAGAATGGGGCAATTCCTTTTTTTGTGTTGGAATTATCATAATGTTGTTTAGGTAACAATCTTACTTGGCTTTGGCAGTGCAGAAAAATAATTTTTCAATTCTTCTTTGGCAGTTGTGACAAGTTTATCAGCATTTGTCTCTCCAAAAACTTGTTGTAAACTCTTCTCCCATTTACGTTGCTAAATAAAAGGAAACACAGACATTTTACAGAAGAGAAAAATCAACCTCTCATTAATATCTTTTTAACCAAGTATTTGCACAAGATTTCTATTAGTGCTGTTGTTATAAGGTATTGAAACTCATTAAATTGATACAAACAAGAGGTGGTGATAAGGCTTGTCTACTAAAAAAAATAAAATTCAAGAGTGTTATGGCTGTGATGAACATTCGACCTGATGTAGGCTGGTAAACTTTCAGGACCTTCGCAAAGAACGATCATATAATACACGATTATACTTTAACCTTGGTTGACTTGAACAACCGATCTTCCTAAAAACTTTGTACAGGCACTCTGATTGTAGTGGACAAAGTTTAATTGTATTCATTATCTATACAGCTAAAAGTAAGGCACTTTACAACACTAGTTTGCCAAATTTTGTGCAGCATCAACAACGGAAATATCATCTACATCTACATTATCTATTCCTTTAATTTAAACAAGTAAGCTATCAAACAGCGTCATTTATAAGAAACAGACGTCAGGTATCTTACCTCAACTTTATGGTTTACTGGTGCATTTATATCCTTGAACCTGTCTTTAGGGTCCTGAAAGTGTTCATTATCCACATATATAAGATGTCAAATATAGTCTGCAACTCACTAAAAGGGACACAAAATTACAACATTGGCAGAACTCATACATAACTCAAAATTTAAAGTAAAACCTTCGGTCATTAAAGAAGTTGACAAATGACACTGCTGCTTTCAAATTACTGACTAATATTCCTCTATAACAATTTAACAAATAAGTACACTCAACAAAAATAGAATCCTGACAGTGTATTTTTTATTATCATTTTCAGGAAATAGATGACGGAAATGTAAAAAACAAATGTTGGGCATGAAAAAGAGATGCATGTACAATATTGATATGCATTTTGTTGTATATTAATTATGTTAAGTTTGTTAAATTACGCTAGCTCTAAGGAAAGGGTCAAATTCAATTTATCAATTTTGTGGCTATTACGTTTCGACTACATGCAGATAGGTTTAAATCATTTCATTAACAGTTTAAAAATGCATGCGATTTTTTCATTTAATTCAATATCGGTTGTGGCCACCTCTGGCTCAAAGTAGGAGAAGAATTTCATAAGACATGTTGTCTTTCATTCTAATCCTGTTTTTTAAGAATATTTGAATTGCATCTGTATATTGTGAATTATAACATGTATATATATTCTGAGAAATAAAATATGTTTAAACTAAAGTAGTGCGTCAACACGTCAACGCATAGAATTGACGAAACGTTGAACAAGGTTATTTGGAAGATTGTTCCATTCCGCTATCAATGCATTTTGTCAGATGGAGGATATTCTGTGGGGCGTGATGTCCTTGGACATTTCTGCCAAGCACATCCCAGATATGCTCTATTCCAGGATTCATATCTGGAGACATTGTTGGCCATCGCATGGTATTGACGTTGGCTGCAGCTAAGCGAGCGCGAGTTATCCTCGCACTGTGAAGACAGGCTTAGTGTTGTTGAAACACAACGGGACTGTTTCTTTGCATAAACGGATTAGCCTCGACATTCAAGACTTCGTTGATGTATCTCTTGACGTTTAAGTTGCTGTGTATAACAATAAGCTGGGTTCTTTTGTCCATCCATTATCCCGCCCCATACCATGACGCTTCCACCACCTAAACGATCATGCTGTCTAACACAGACAAGTGCAAACCTTTCGCCCTTTCGACAGTAAATTCTTACACAGCCGTAGGGATGAATGAGATTGTAACGAGACTCGTCTGAAAACAGGACAGTATTCCAGTCACATCGCCGCCAGTGACGGTGCGCATTCGCCCACCTAATACAGGCCTGACCATGGAGTAAAGTGAGAGATTTCTCTCTGCTTCCGATAAACGTGGCATTGTGAAAGCTATCAACTTTAGGTGTGAATAACACTAAATTTTTACTGAACACATGTATAGTGCTTTACATCACTGTCTATCTGACATCGTTCAGCATGCACGGGGTTCACGTGCAAAACTAAAATTTTACCCTTAGCTGCATTCTACTGACAATACGCGTTTAAAACAAAAAACATGTATAGTGTATCAATAGTACATGAATACTCACTACACATGTTTTGATTTAAATCACAAATTAGAAAATATTTAAAAGAAATAAAGTGTCAGGTTTTTATTTTTGTTGAGTATATTAAGATGCATTAAATTATGTCAGATATTATGACATATTGAAATATTACTATCTACACTACTTAAGAACATCAAATTCATAATCATATTGAAATATGAAATATTGCATAATACTGAACTTATAAAGTTATTAACAAAACTTGATCATTCCATACAATATGATTATAATACTGTTTTCTATTGGATAGTCATTATGTATAATTTATCTATAAACAGACTATATAATATATACATGGATGCCGTAATTTTATTAATTTACTTTGATTTTTCCATAACTAAAGGAATAAATTGCGGTGTGTTATAAAAACAGTAAATATGGCCATCTAAAAAATTTTTTTTTTTGTAATCCTAGCCTTACTAACACAGGTTATATAATCCTTAAAATATTTATACTAGCCGAATATAACCTGACAAAAAATCTTTATATCTAAAATTGTATGGTTATCTCACCTCTACTTTAGGGGTCACATTACATTTTGCAATCTGGGCACCAAGATCAGAAAACTTGCAACTCTCAGATTTACCTGTAATCATATTTATAAGCAAATTATTTTCATTTCTACATCTTCTATATATTACCCGTATACAATATTATATGAAATGTGTCATTAAAAACTCCCAAAGTATAAAAAAGTAAGTAAAGTTATGCAAGGCAAATGTACACAGTTTCTTAAAGTGACACCTGTTTTCAGTAGAGTGCTTTACATTTCATTAATTATGTTTATTATTCATATCATTGCTTTGCATAAAAACAAAGTGCAATTGTATAATTTAAATGATGTATACATTTTGTTGTTGTGTCATTCTCTGCTCTTGTAACTTTCCTTTATGCATATATACATGTATAGCCTTTCAGTAGGTAACTATGTACAACAATGCACATTGAAGAACCTTGTTAGATTTTAAATAGAAAATATCCTAATAAGTGAAGTTTCGCTGGCAAATAATTATGACAAGCCATTGCCACTACTATATAGCCAGGCCAGGCAGATGAATTTTAACATTCATACAAATGTATATTGAAATTTTCCATCAAGTTATAATGTATAGTTTAAAATATAAACCAGGATAATTTGATTGGATTAGTTTAAGACAGTCAATGTAAATAAACCACATACCACCATATGTTAAAGGTACAGATGCAGTTGTTGCACTCAATTTTTTATCAAGCTCGAAATCCTCTATTCTCCAATCAGCTTCTAAAGGTGTATCATTGATTGGATCAAATTTGGATGTCTTTGTAAACTCATCTATGATTGGTGCAGAAAATGTGTGTTTTGGATCACTGTTCCTAATTGTGATTGGTCTGTACAAAGTGCTAAGAGAAATGGGGTCTTCATATTGCAAAGCAAGGGCTGTATCCTCAATTCTAACATGGCGAGGGAGTTGCTTGCGTGTAACACAGATGCAGTATTTCTGTAATATATTAATATTAAGTTCATGCGATAATTGATTCAACATGAGGCCATTATTTTTTGATATTTCGGTTTACAGACCCGCCGACTCTGTATTTTGGGAAAATGAAAAAAAAAAAATCTGCCCCCAAAAAAATTCTGTGTTGTCTTGAAATACGCTGCTAATAATACGACTTGTCAAAGAAATGTGGTGGTAAGTATTTTAATTAACTGTTAAACCTACCACATGCCAGACTATATTTTACCTACGATTTATACAGTGAGATACGCAACCGGTTATCTTTACTCGAGAATAGCCTGTCGTCTGCTAGTTGGGCAAAGTGTTTATTGGTGTATTATGAAAGAATGTCTGTTAAATGGGGTCAAGCCATTCTCACAGAATTATAATTGGGCTTTGATCATATTTCATCAATGCATTGAAGGTCGAAATGCGTAAAAATGTAAAACAACCAAACAAAAAAAAACACGCCAAATTACGTAAGCAATTACATTCAAGGACAGAGCGAGAGAAATCTGCTGCAATTGACAAGATCAGTATTTTCAGATTTCACAAAAAAAATTAGTCTTTAAAAGCAGATTGAATACAGGTTTCAAACAAACAAAATAAAAAAAATGCCCGCTCTTACTTTTAATAGATTTTTATGTCAAAAATTGACCCGCTAATTATCAGATAAAAATATTTTCACAATGGGCAAAATTGAACATGACTTTCTGTAATCTTTTCTTGACATTTTTTTTTTAACATCTGATCTATAAAGAAATGAGTGCAAGTCAGCTGATTTTCGGCACCTTTGATGATTCAGATTACACAGCAGTGTGTAAACATCAAAGAATGACAGGTTCTTTTGAAGAGCTCGCTTGCCACTTGTCATAAGTCATCGTGTGTAACATTTCATGTGTGTTTTTAAACAATGGCAATATGAGCAAAAGTTTTTTTTTGTGTATTTAAACAATCTTTGGAATAGACAATCGGCGATGTATTTAATTTCATTGCTCTAGTAAGTACTATGTATATGTATTGCACCACATTTATAGTTATGAAAACTTTTTTTTTCCCGCCGCCGACCCTACCTTTTTTTGGAAAAAATCAGTAAACCAAAATATAAAAAAAAACTGGCCTGAATACTGCAAAAGATTCCATCAAAACAATTTAATAAATAGATTTTTTTTCTATTTCTTCTGTTTTACAGAATTATGAAAAAAAATGAAATAAAGCAGATTAATACATTAAGTAGCTGCAGCAATATTAATAATTTAAGCATAAAATGATATTTTTCATCTGTATCAAGAACATATATATAACAAGTATATTTCAGTATGTAAAACAGGTTTCAGAAATCAATACAAGGTATTTTAACATAATACTACAGAGCATGTGTATCAATGGTTTTACATCTCAATGAATTAAATAGCATACAAAAATATTATTCAACACATTACTACGTGCTCAACACAAATGTTTTTTTTTATTTTCTGGGTTTTATGTAAACTTTTACACAAACTTAACTTATACATGTACTTTGCTTAATTGTGCATAAAAATGGAAATAGAACAAACATATTTATATACATTGCAAAGTTCACTAAATAAAGAAAGAGAACATACTTGTTTGTTGGAGCCATCTTCTGAAGTGACCTCCACTATAATATTTGTACTCCCAACATTCAGTGTGGTTGGAGATCCTGGTTTCTCACCATTTACAGTCACAACATTCTTAGCATCTGGTGGGGTAGGTGTCACTTTAACAGCATTAACATTGCAGGCTAACAAACCTAAAAATTAAAAGTGTCTAAAGGGGTATATGAGGAATTTTTATCATTTAATAATCTAAACTAGATGTATTGTTATACCAATTGGAGAATACAAAGATAGAATGGTTAATTACAGATTTGTAGGTTTTTCAATTATGACTTTTCATTTTGTTATGATATTAACCGCCATTCTTTGATTTTTCATTTTGCAGTAGCATATTTGTTTTGTTATTTTCTTATCAATGAATTGTAAATAAACTTAAAGTAGTAAGTATGATAGGTTGAATTTTATATGGTCCATAAATGAACAAAATCTGTTCACAAATAACCAATTTATACCAAAAATATTAGTGTCCAGTTATAAGTGCCTCTGAGTTTATATTTATTTGAGCAATCAATAAATAAGTGATATAAGTCATATCAATAAAAATATGATATCAAACATTTAGTTCATATTTACATGTATATTCATAGGTTTCAGGACTGAACTCTGGTACAACAGTTCCAACATCTAACTTGAGACTGGAAAGAGTAGCATCTTTTGCAGAAAGTCGTTTTACATGGATGATATACACTTTGGTTGTTTTACCGTCTTCAGCACACACATCAATTTTAATATCAGTCACTGCTCCTTCTTTCACTGGGACTTTCTTTGATCCTCCACTCCCCTACAACCATTAAATTAAAAAAAAAAATAATTTCTACAGTTATCCAAATTAAAAGGGGATTTTCAAGATCATTGAATTCAAAATTTTTAAAAAAATTCCCCCCCTTTTTTAAAATTCTTTTTTTCGGCCCCCCTTAATTAAACACCCCTTTTTTTTTTCTTTTTTCCCTTTTTTTTGAAAAAAAACCCTTTTAAAAAAAAACCCCAAAAAAAATTTTTTTCCCCGCAAAATTTGGCCCGTTTTTTCCCCTTCCGGCCCCGGGCGTGTTGGGCCAAAGGGGGGGGGTGGGGGCCCCCCCCGGGGCCCGCCCCGGAAAAGGGGGCCCCCGTCTCCCCCCCGGGGGGGGCGGCTTTGCGGGGGGGAACGCCGGGGCCCCCGGGGGGGGGGAAAAAAAAAAAAAAAAAAAAAAAATGCCTTTTTTTAAAAAAAAATGGGATTTGGGAACAAATAAAAAAAATCTGAAAATAAAATTTTTAATGACTTAAATTTAAAAAAAACAATGCTTGTAACAAGAGTTTGATATCTAAAGACATCATATTAAAATGCAAAAGTTAAAGAGGGTTATGTGTTACAAGTAAGTCATTTGTAAGATCATTGAATTTGTAAAATACTGTCAACATTTAATAACTTGAGACAATTTTCCGTAACAAGAGACACTCTACCATAAGTGGGAGACACACTCTCCCTTTTCTTATTTCTTAGAAAGTCAAACACATTTGAGGAAGAATATTGTAGTAAACAAGAACTTCTAGAAATTTTCTTGCACAAAATATAATTCAAATTTGACCTTTACAGTCAAGGTCATTTAAAGGTCATTAATACACTTGTTACTATATATAGTAACACAATTGCCTAGGATTTCAACTGATTATGAATGTCATGTGTATGACCAATTATGAGTTTGCGGCTGGGGGGCCAATAACTGATTATCATAATCGGTCTGCTGAACACAACTATGTGCACAAACTGAAACAATGACGTCACATTTTACGTCATCAAAACAACTTGCTGCAAAAGTGAAAGTAGCATTGAAGCATTAATAGCTTGATTTTAGAATTAGAACATTAGCGTAAAGCCGTAATTTCTACAAACACAGCTTTATTGAAATTTAAAGAAATAAAATACTAGCTACAATTTCATTCTGAGAAAATAAATCGTGTTTCTTACTTCTGTTGGATACAAATAAGGGAAACAACTCTGAGTAAGATACTTTATAGTACACTTGAAATACAGAGAAAGGAATGTCAATGAAAGAAATATCAAAGTAAATTAAAAATAAAACTGCTTCTGCAAGATCTATCAAGTGGCCAGGAGATAATCGGCCCTGAAATGAATAATGTCCTCAGGCTGAAGCCTTCAGGCCCTACTCTGCCGTGTATTAATCTCTTAATGTCACATAATCGTCATGATAAAGTGGGGCATGTGAATATAGCTCAGAGGTTAATTAACACTGCTCAGTGTAACTTTGTGAAATTCAAGGGCAAATTTCAGTATAGCAGGGGAGTATGTCATGGTTCAGAACTGTTCACTATTTAGGGGAGAAAATGTGTAAGTAGCCGGGAAGCTCAGTCGGTAGAGCCGACAGGGTCCCGGGTTCGACACACGGCCAGGTTGCACATTTTTCTCACCCTGTGACATGGGTAAAACGGATGCCCAATCTTTATTTTAAGTTATTTATAGGGGCACATTAAGCTGCTGCTGGTGATTAGGTCTTTAAGTGTCTTTACAATAAACAAAACAAACAGGCCATCCAAAAACGATAAAATATCTCACTGAAATTGTATAAGAGGCCCCCGTGTCTCTGGTTAAAAGATCTAGAGTAACTTCTGCAACATTGCTTGGAATTGTTGAACTATACTCTAAAGTGTCCTGGTGAAAAGCGGGTGCAATTTTGCCTGGTTTAATTCCAAGCTTCTCAAGGTTGCAATCGTCCATCTTGAAACTTAGGACTCTTCAGTGCGGATCTATATCATAGATCCATGATAAATTAACAAATTCAATGAAGAATTTGAATATTTCGTGTTTATTCACATATTCTTATATAGTTTTTAAAATATTTACCATACAACTTTATTCAATTTTAATTTTTATCTAATCAGGACTAAGAAAAATATTAAGAAACTCGACATGCGTTTTCGCGGGAAAATTAACTTCCGTGTTTACCTTTTTTGTCTTGGAAATTTATAATAAAATGTCTTGCATTATAACAGAAGAAGATCTTTCAGATGAATTTTCGGTTTTTGGCATTGAACTTGAAGATGAAGGCGTCATTGGAAAATGTAATTATAAAGTTTTGAGAAATGACTCGCGATTTTACCAAGACCAAGTCGACCCTATTTTGAGTCAAATTCGTCCCAAGATGTTTCGACCTTAAATTATTATTAACCATAGTAATTTGTCCACGAAGAGATATGCACTCGTCCCTTTACGTAGATATATCCATTCGTCCCTTTACTAATCCATTTTCTAATTACAAACTTTCAAAATAATGATATAGTCAACTTTTTTATAAATGGTCCACAGAAGCCAATCGAGCACATCAGGAAATAATGTTTGGAGTCCACACTTAATAAGGGTCCATCTGCCCTTTCAGGCAATGGGACATGTAACCATTCATGTAGTTAAAGGTTATGTAACCGGGGATAAATGATTGAAGACTTGCTTCTATTTCATCATTTTATTGTCGGACATACAAAAACGAGCCTACAAACAAAATACAAAGGAATTACAAATAATTGATTTACAAAATAATAAAATTACACATTTCATCCAATTCATCAATGGAAAAGAATAAATATGACATTAGAAATATATAAATTCTTACCAGGATCAGCATACAAGAACTGTCCATAAATGATGTTCAAGTTTACTATAATAAGTAACTACTACTATCAACAACTATACTGTAAAGTAAGTTATCAGTTACTCGTATAATGTGGAACTGGCGAAGGGAAATATTTTACTTAAGCAAGAAAATGTTTCGCGGGGATTTTAGGGTCATGCACGTGAAATATTAGTGAACACATTCATACAACCTTTCAACTTACAGTGACCTCTCATACGAAACAGACTATACAAAACATTACCACAGTTAGGCAAACAAACGACGACACAACAGTTAGGCGAATACCAACCAAATACAACATAACACGGAGGATACAATATACCAGTGATAAACAGAAAACGATACACAGGTTACACATTCCCTCCCTTTAAGGAAATGGCTCCTGACATTTCCATAACTCAATTATATTTGAGTTTCAAATAAAAACATCAGGACATAATCATCTTCAATAAATCATGTGTATAATAATACACAACAATTATGTCTATTTCTTGTCTTTATGAAATGACAAATATAAATCTATTGATATCTTTATAATGAATTTTCAATTGTAATGTGAAATTAATAAGTTAATTTCTTTAATTGAAATAGGTTCATATATTTGATTCAGCTCTATATTCAAATAAATCTATTTACAAATATTTACAATAGATAGACAAAGTTGCATCACAGTACACTGGTACTAGCATGGAGTTGAATAGACTGGAGAAGCCAGGGTTCGAATTTAAGCTGGCATACTGGCAAAATGCCAGTTAAAATATAATAATGCCAGTAAAAATTACTCTAGCTTGCATTTATTTGCAAGTGATTGTTCAATTTGGACGTTTACATAATTTTTTTTCTTCTGAGCTGATGATGATGCTTGGCATATGCCCCCTGCTGTAACGGATGATGTTTACCTTAAAACTTATATTTTATATAAATCAATTTTTGATTGCTCTATTTATTTTTTCTTTGACTATATTTTGATGGACTTTTTATAACAGCCAAACACTTTTGATTAGAGCATCCAAGATGTTTTATCAGGGTCCAATGTAAATGTGTAGCACTCATCTGTAAAGTGTTTACTTTTAAGCTGAAATATTTATTTATTATAAGCAGATCAGAACCTCTGAGTTTTCAGGCTGTTGATGTAATCAAGTACAAAATATGCTAAAATTAAGATCCTAAGAAATAACATAACATGAACAAGTTTATAACTGTATGTTGTCACCACTGGGTGTTCCTAGATGGTATATCTAATAGTCTGATCCCTAAACAATTGTTTATCATTTATAAATTAATTTGTTGAAATGTTTTTGTTTCGTTACAAGAAGACATCTGTGTTTACCAGTGATAAAGATGTTTCTGATATTCAATAGACATTCAAGCTTATTATCATTTGTCATATCAGATTTTCAAAATTCATTGTCAATAAAAATAATAATAAAATACGTGAACATGGAAATGCTAGTTGACTGCCTCATATTGCCAGTTAAACATTTGATCACTTGCAAAAATCTGCAAGTAGAAAATCTTGCTAAATTCTAACCCTGGAAGCAACTTGTGACGTCACACAGTTAAATTCAGCATAGATGCAAAGCGTTTCTCGTAAGTTATCATATGTCGCGGGATTTTCCGAGATTTGATGCATCCTGGGTAAAAATAGTCGTAACACCGCCATATTGATTTCACGGCGATACACCGACAATAAAAGCGGATCATTTTCTTCTAATTTATGAAGCAATAGTTAACGATGAAGTTAAAGGTGGGTAGAAATTGATTGTAAAGAAAGTTTGGATAAGTCATGTTAGCTTGTTTTGAAGGAATTGAGTATTTTTTAGGAGAAAATCTTGTTGGAAAAATACTGTGCCGTACAGCGGTATATTGACAATCCTGCGAGAGCGGTCAATTTTAATTTGTTAAGGATCTTTAACTGTTATATCAATACGTATAATTCTTGCATTTTCTTATGTATTAAGGATTTCTTTATTGAAATATGATGTTTGTTTAACTTCGTTTTTTGTTTTGATGTGAGTTTTTTCGATTTTTTTTGAAGCGTATTTTCTAGTCTGAACAGAGTTTAATACAGTATTTTCGGGCATGTTTTTTTTCCCGGACAATTATAAGGTATTATCTGTTCATGGCCATAATTTATTTTCCTCGTCTTTTTTTTAACTTGGAGCTCTCAAAATTATTTAAATGCTTAATTGTTAACAACAATTTATGTTTAAGTAATTTAAAATACGTTGATGTTTTTGTTTTTACGGCAATCAAAAAAGAAAGAGTTCTTCTTCTTGGTGCCCTACATGGGTGTGTTGGAGGTTGTGTTTTGTGAACGTTACCTTTACCTTGTTGATCTTTATGCTTGTATTTATACAATACATACCAAACACAGGAAGTGTCATTATGACAGGAAATAATGTCTAATACTATTGACTTTGAAATATGTTATATCCTGTGTATATTCATGGAGTTGATATTGTAGTATTTTTATATTTACTGTTTACATTGTTCAGGTGTGCTTAGAATTTTCTTCTATTTATAATAATATGTATTTTGCATTTCAATATTTACAGATGCCACGAAAAAAAGGATGGTTCCATGCTAAGAGAAAGGCAGGAGAGCAGAGAGCTGTGCAAGCCATTGGCAATTATGACCATGAGTACTGTTCATTACCAAAGAGAACCACTTGTTTAAAATAAATAATGTATAAGTCTGTGATAGAGGCAAACAGAAACATTATGTTGATGTAAACAGTAGTTTTTTGTCATACATTTTACACTTATACAAACACATATTTGTTAAGTGATCATATAAAGTTCACACAAATGAATATGTTTTTTATCACAAAAAATAAAGACATTTTTGGTATCCGCAACACAGACTTTCTAGTTAATAATCTAAGTTTGATGTTCACAGTTGTATTTCTTATCACTGAGATTAAATATTGAATATGGTTGTAATTAGTCTTTCCTTCATCCACAAACATGGGGGAAATGCAAGTCTGTATCTGGCTATTATTATTTACAAGCATATCATTATATTTCTTATCACCAAGATTAATAATGTGTTATAATATAAATAAAAAGTATGAGAGACTGAACAAACTACACCATGAATGAGGTTGTAACTATTCTTTGATGTTTGTTGATGAATTGATAAAAATAAAGGTAAAATTAAAATTGATCTCTTACACTGTATCATATAGAGGTACTGTTATGTTTTATATGTTATATGTTTTATTTGTTATTTTGTTTTATTTGAATTAAATAGTAAGCAGAAATATGTGTTTGTTTTACATGTTATTCAATTTTATCCTATTTCTAAAAGCATAAGCTGGAGTGTACCAATTAAGTGATTTATCAGAATTAATTGGTGAAAATTGGGCTCATTCATAATGTTGGTATCAATCCCGCCAGAGACTTGGTTTGAAGAAGCTGAACAAATAGCTTACTAGAAAATCAAGTCTAACCAGATGCCCGCTTTAGCCTGATGCAGGGAAAGGGAACTAAGGTCTTCCTACACCAGTAAAGCAGGAATTTCGACGATTTATTGAAGGCATTATTACTCAAAAAAGGTGGGAATATGTTAATTGCTATGTTCTACTGCTAACTGGTAAACGTCTTTATAATTAATGACGCACGTGTAACATTAAATAAATACCGCATTCATTTCTACATACATATAGGTAATTAGAGCTTATTTAAGTATTATCAAATCGGCTTGATCTAAGAGTGTGCCCTTCATTGTGAAAACATCGCAATTAAGAAAAAAATGAATACAATCAAATCAAACAGTAATATAGCGCAATTATCGCCCCAAAGAATAAACAATTGGTTATAACCCTGAGATTAAAAAAAACTTGAAATATGGATTTGATTTAAAAGGGGAATTGCAAATAAAACAAAATATATTTATCATAATTAACATTTTATTCCTTAAATTGTTGATTGTTTATCGTAATTTACAATACAACGGCAATGTAAACATTGATTAACGGATATCGCCGAAGTTTAACGAGAGCGCGAAAATCGGAGACTAGCGGGAAAATCCGATAATTACCGAAGCGCGCAAAGGATTGTGGGTATAGATCGGACAGTTGTTTATTTTTCGGAGTTTCTAATCCGGTGTATTTATATCTGTGGTACTAGTATGCAATAATAAATCCGTCATCCTCTCTAATACTTCAAGATCAACTTCTCCACATACAAACAACAACTTGTTCACATATGGCAGATGTGGAGACAATTTTTTTTTTTATATTTTTTTTTTAAACTGTATAAACACATGAAAACATATATGATTTGTTCAGACATAGTTCCTAGTTATTTCTAAAATAGAAACATTGATAAATCAGGTTTACTGACCTTAATTTCTGTGAAGAAATTAATTAAGTAAATTCAAAATTTTACATTATATAATAATATATGATAATCATACAAATACTTCCAA